AGGCAGGACGGGACTCTGTTACCGACGTCTTGGCATCCAGCTCGTCGAGCACTCAGTTGTCTAGAAGGACTTACACGTCAGGCTTCAACTCTCGGTGCACGTTTCGGAGGCTGACGGAGAAGCCCAAGTTTCTGGGGCAACGTGCCAGGGACCTTCATGTGTGGGAGTTGATAGACTTCGTAGCCTGGTGTTTCGAGTCTGAGGGTAATCTAGCGAGTACAATATCCGGAAAATTCACGGCTGAGCAACATTTTCATACTCGTAAGCTGAAGCTTCGGTCGAGCTAGACTTGTCGTCTCCGATGTTGAAATGTGCGCTAAGGGGGATGGCGAGGAACCACGTGGCTTTGGGGACGGTACGCCGTGTGCGCCTTCCTGTGTCTTGGTGTATGCCGCTGGATGGGGAAAGCGCAAGGCAGAACTGGGGGGAAGGGGGCAGAGTGATGTGGCTGTGTCTGTGCCTGTCCTATCTCTTCATCACACGGTCTGATGGATGTTCGCGAATGACGCGGGCAGGGTGCATGAGGCACACCGTCTTACAAGGGCGGACAAAGCATTGTTTGCCGGCGGGACGCTACTAGACTTCAGTCACTATCGTAGAGCAGACCGCGTCGAGATGAGGTTTAGAGGGCACAAGGCCGATCAAGAGCAGAAAGGCAACATACGGGTTCGTACGCGAAACGAAGTCACCGGACCGCAGTCAGGTGTGAGAGCACGCGGCGGCGCGGTGGCTCTTGTGGTTGAGCTATTGTCGTGTCATGCGACGTTGCCTGACTCCGCTCCGTTGGCTTCGTACCGTAGTGGAAGAGCAGTGAGAGTAGTGAGGTATAGTGCTGCCCTCCGTGCAGTCAGAGAAGTGGTAGCGAAGTCGGGGCGTAACCCCCAGGAGTACGCGTTGCACTCGTTGCGAATTGGAGGCGCGATGGCTCTTCCAGCGGGCGGAGACATCGCAGAACGAGTGATTCAGAGAGAAGGAAAGTGGAGGTCGATTGCCTACAAGCCGTATGCGCGAAACAATGTAGAGGATTCGCGGCGAGTGTCACAGAACTACAGACGGCAGCAGGATAGTATCGAGACAGCCGGGGGAGGGGACCGTATGGGGAACGCATAGTTGACTCATTCGGTGATCGTCCAGAAACTGACCTCGATGTGGGTGTTGTAGAATGGTGTGTACCATCTGAGGACTTGGTCAGTTTTGGGACTCCTGCGATTGCAGTCGTAGTCCCCCGGCTAGTATCTGTGGGGAGAGAGATGGATTTGTAAGAGTTGACGCCGGCCTTCGCAGCTAACGCGGCCGGAGAGACGATGAGCGTTTCGTGCGTCTCTCTCCCCAACACGTAGCCTAGAAACCGAAGAAATAATGAAGCAATTCGAAAGAAAACAAAATAAATGGTGAGATACGCTTTCATTCAGACTTTCAACGGCAAGCAGAACATATGTTTGTATGTAGCCAGAGCTGTGCTTTGACTTTCGGAGGGGATTGCTGGGCCATGGCGGGTGAGTTTCTACGGATGTGCGAGATGTTGCGTTGTCTGCAGCCAGTCGCGGTGGGTGCGTTGTGCAGCTTGTTCGCTTCTGAAATTCCCGAGGCGCTCGGGAGGATGTCATATTACTTTTTTTTTTCTGGTGCGTGGGACACACACCAGGACCGGAGTTCGGATATCTGGCTCTTACATCAGTAGACTAGTACGCATGCATGTACACATGTACACATGTATGTGTGCACCATTACGACTGGACGGGGCCAGGTGTATCGGCCGTTGTATCGAATGGAAGAACAAAACACACTCCCGTGATCTCTGTGTACATAGACTACATCGTGACAACACTGTAATAAAAGGGTTGCTATGCCTGTACATACATACGGAAGGTCCAACGGTTAAAAGTTGCACTCATGTTCATCTCACCATTTTGACAGCCCCGAATTCCGGCCACGGAACGTTCGTGAATTTCTCAACCTACCATGTTGAGAACACCATACACCACGCTGTTGATCTCAGTTGATGGGTACTGCTGCTCCGTCTGATCCTCAATCCGCAGCAGTCTACATATATGTACAGTGTGCGTGTAACGAAAAGGGACGACTGGAAGCATACAAGCACCACGGTACCGAGTGGTCAACTCGTCACGGTTACAGCACTTGACGGCAGTCACAGCTTACTACCCAGCAAGCAGATTTCTCGAGCGGGTTTCCGGCAAATGGCGCAAATTCCGTTCCCGGCACCGGACTGTCACATGTGTAGGGATCTGATTGGTTAAGCCATGCGGAAAATTGACAGGGGGCGTGTGGTGGACCTCGGAATGTGCAAGTATGTGCTTCCTACCACCAGACGCTGGAGTGCCGACGGGGTAACGGGTGTGGGCTGGGAACGCCCCGGGCGGCGATGGGCGGACCGGGAAGGAAGAAGCCCAGTGATCGAGAGAAGAACTAAATGGTTGAACATGCTCGCTGGCGCCACAAGACTGCACACGACCACAAAGAACGAGAGAGAACGGCCACGCGCCAATCGATTATGGCCTCCGGGCGCGTCGGGAAACTTTGCGCATCGGAAACATTTTCCATGTTCATGTGCGTGTTTTATGCTTTTAGACAATTAGATTCTTGCTGGAATTTTCTTCAGTTTATCAGATGAGCGAACACAAAGCACGCACCCAGTGGAAGAGTTGTTGGATAAAACTATTATATTTTTCTAAGAACACAAAAATTACACCGCGGTTGCCGCAAGATGCTTACAGGGAATTTTCCGTACCCTTGCGTAAAAGCCCGATTTTCCACCGTCACTGTTGTCGGTGATCGCCCGCCCGCCCACACTGCCGCACACTGACTTTCATACCTCATCACAACCATCTGTGAGCGAACCCTGCCCTCGGTCAGCCAGCACTACTAAGGTAGCGACATATATATTTCCTTCTCTTCTCGTTCCGAGGCACATCAAGACGCAACAACTCTCCCAGGTACATTTGTCTGCGGCGGTCTGTAGACAAGTCTAAACGGTCGGCCGCTGCGTATCTTGCAAAAGTAATCACCACCTACGGCAGTACTTGCTGCTGCAACCCATTCGTCCGTGAACGCACTGCGAATCCAGCTGTTGGGGTTGTCGGCAATTGCGCTGTTGTTCCTGTGGTGATCGGGAGACAAGGTGGAGCGGGAGTAACAGCAGTCGTGAGTATAGAGGGTAGATGGCAATCGACGGGTCAATATCCACACGTACGTTCAGACAGCAGTGGTTCCCCTGAGGGCCAACGCCACTTGTGTCATGTTCTTCTTGGAGCCTTCTGATACTCTTGCACCGTGCGCGTTCGCTACTATGGTTGTGTACTGTAGTTCGTACAAGCTCCCGCTGTCGGTATTTCGCCCCCCCCCGTTGGTTGCCCCTGTATTTTCGCTCGTTCGTAGGACTTTTATTAGACTCGTCGGGACGTGCGTGAATGAAGGCGATACCACTCACGTGTGTTATGGTATTTGGACCCTTGGACTAAGATACGGCTGACGAAGGGGTCCAAAAAAATATGCATATATAAATTTATGTCGCCATGTACTGCTGTAGCCCCCTCCTGATTTGTCAGCACTTTTCCAAACAATGACGCATAGAAAAAGGAAGACATGTTCCTCTTGGTTGTCATCGTTCACAATGAAGTATCCTGCCCACGGAGCAGCAGCTGCACGTGCAGCTACCGCTAGCTGCATTCCGGCGTATTCCGCCTCCTGGGGCACGCGCGGGCAGTCCGGGGTATAGGGCAATTCGGCGATTGTTTTTGCATGCGCGTCGGGAGCTCACCAGTTGGCCCACCCCCGTAAGCATAGTGTAGATGGGAAACCTGTGTTACCTGCACGTTCGTAGGTACTTTCGGATTTTTCGAACGTTGCAGCCGCAGAAAAACAGAAACCTTACATACCACGGCATAAAATATCTTCTCCGGGCTCTCCGTCCGTTTCATCTACGGTGGATACCTCGCCATAACTTTCAAGGCCATCAAACCAACACGGCGGCACCAAAATTTCAAGTCATTGGGAAACACTTCTAATATATCCGCGTATCTGTGGCATTTACTTCTGGCTCAATTGCTAATTTGTGTCTGCGATGGAGACAGGTGATACATAGAGAGGGGGGCACAGAGAGATGGGAGGGGGAGGGGTCAGAGAGAATGATGAGGCAAGGAGAGATTGGAAATACCCGGGGGAGAGAGACGCACCAAGCCGTCTACAGTACAGGCGCGCGAGAATATTATTTTTTTTCATAGAGAGACAAAGAGAGAGGGAGGAATTGTTTCCTGGTCCATGACCATGTACTGTAGCGGCTTCGCGTGTACGAGAAGAAATTCGACTTCACGATCGGCGAGGGAAAGGAACGGCTGAGTCCAACTCGCTATTACAGTTCAGGCAAGCACCGCCGAAGCATTGCGGAGAAAACCCTCCTGTGTTACCTTCCTCCTGTGTGACCCTGGCGAGGGCGCCCAGAAATTGTACCAACAGATGTAATGATCACGTTCAGACTAGCTGGGACGGACACAAAATAGAAACAAACGACTACCGGCGGATTGATTGGTTCACATCTCTGAATCTGGCTGTTGCAGAATCTTCGAAGTGCCGTGGTTCATGCGGAAGTACACGTGGGGGAGCTTGTACCATTGTCTAAACATGGGACCCTTATTCCACGCCGGAACGCGTTGTACTCGTTGTTTGCCGCCCCAACAGGATTTCATCGACAAGCTTTTCAAGTTTCACACTACTTGTTTCTCGTCACCCAGAGTACATCAGAACGAATGGTCCAAATTCTGGGCCTTGTAAACATACCACGCCAAGAAAAATAACTCAAAGCAGCAGGGAAGTAGCGAACTAAACTACAGCACGACCATGGGGACCCAACGAGACGAAGCTCACTCCAAACGGAACATAGATTAGTTGACCGCGGCCCCATTTGATGATCGGAGAATCCTTACTCCACTGTGAACGTTTCCTGCCCTGGTACTCGCGTTAAGCTTTGCAAGTCTTGAACACCCATGATATTTGGAAACCAGACCCTGCCAACGGACCGCAGCACGCACCCTAAGCCGCCCCCCGTGGCCAGGGGAATCGACTTGGTTCCGGCCCCAACCACGCCCCCATCACCGATTTCGCTGACTGCCCCAAACAATGCAACGGGATTCTGCCCGCCGATGAAACAGGCGGAGAGCAGCCACGGGTCACAGGGCGGTGGCAGCGCACACGGCGGTACGGGATCTGGACCGTTGGCCCTTTCACCTTCCATGACCGTCTCCAACAGCACCCGGGGTGTCGAGAGCCTGCAACCGCGGCGGAAAGCACTCAATGAGGTCAGAGAATTCATCGTGTGGGATGGTCTCCACGTGATGGACACCCGGTACAATTGCAACTGATCTCGCTTGATTCAGTTCATGGGGTGTGAGGAAGCTCGCATGTCGCCCCTGTGACTCTCCGGCTGGGCGGGTGCATGTGCATTCCTTAGGAGCATTTGTTTAGCGTTGCACGAAGACGTTTGTTTTGCTGTTGGCAACTTCCCATCCGCACCGAAGCGCTTGTTGGGGGATCAGCATTCCAGCCCTTCCCTCGCACTCTCCAATTGAGCGCTACGGGGATCCGGTATACAGGGATACGCCAAGAGGTTACGCAACAACTGTGAGTTCCTGCAAAAGCAAGAAGCAGCGCACCTTTAACTTCCCCCATTTTCTTTCTCTATCCCTCGTAACGCTGTGGCGACAACGGCAGGACCCTTCGACCCGCCGCCCGCACCCCTTCGACTTCCCACAGCGCCCTAACGATCCTCCATCGTCATCGGCGCGACCCTTGAAGGTCTGGGCCACGTTTTCACGGTGTTACTGTTTTCGATGCCGCCCCGATACGACATGTAGCCCACGTGCGGGTGGGTTTTGAGCGCCTGTCTGAGCACATTCTCAGCCTGTCTCCTGTCAAGACTTGCACCGACCCTGGGGAACTATATTGTGTTTTGGCCACATCCTCTCTCCTGCCGATTTTTGCTTTGGCGCCGACAAGTGTGATGCCCTCATAGAAACCCGCCCGCCGACAAACGTTGAGACGCTGCGTCCCATGCTGGGCATGTTTTCGCACTACCACGAATTCGTCGAAGGTCGAGCCTTGCGCGGTAACCTACTCACCAACCTTTTACGGACAAACCAAATTCGTTTTCGTTGTACACGAGACATGGGGATGGGCGACATGACGGAAACCCTCTTGGCAGATGTCTCGCTTCGTGATTCAAAGATAAGTGTTCACGGCCTGGGCGGGGGGTGATACACTCGCCGGTGGCTTAACGCCGGTGGCCCTGCATATATAGCGCCGGTGAATTTCCTGGGCATAGATTGAATCACCGCATCATTGTGATCTCTGGATAGCGCCGGTCCCTCTGAACACCGTCGGTCGATTCGCCGGGCACGTACTGGCACTGTTGGGGGCCTCCCACTGTATTCTACCTGTAGTTTAGATTCGGTACAAGTATCTGACAGGACTTCTCAGGGCGGACAATTGTATTAGGAAGCTACGGGATGTGTGAGCGCTGCATTTGTGAGGTTTCGTTTGGTATTCTGCCATCAGTGTACGGTGGTCAGGATTCCAAGCGAGTGTTGAGAGAACCTCGTCTAAAGGGACAGAATAAGACAATCAACAACAGCTGTCCCAGCGTCTAGAACAAGGAGCAGCGGATGTGCTTCCTCCCCAGTATATTGCTGTGCCGATACCGACACATGTAATCTCGGAAAAGAAAGGTGAACATCGATATTGAGCGAGGCAGTCTTCGTGGTGTGGGTGTTAGAGAAAGGTGCGGTAGTACGACGACAATACTGGAAGACGCCGGTGTTCCCATAGCGAGGCGTGTAGGATGATGCAAACAGTTGGGTGACAAGGCAGGAAAGAACGTAGGTTAACATGGGCATCGCCTGTATTATCAGAGTATGTAGTGTTTATGCATCAGACCCTTCGTCATAAAAAAAAAAAAATAGATTGACACCGACACGGTATTCCGCTGGGTGCGCAGAATCGCGATATCGCGGCCCATGCCAGCCTTTGAGACGAGATAACTCTTTTGTTAGGTAGACTTTGCTCCGGCCGATTGCTGAGGTGGCTCAGATGTATGTTGCTTTCCAGACGCGAACAACATTCCAGCGATGACTTGTTGTTCCGGTTTCATGGTACGGGTGCTTGCAGCCAGCGGTACAAAGGGAGCCATACGTGTAGCCCGTGACAAAATGCAGATCAGAAACAGTGTTCCCAGAAGCAGAGAGACCAACAGACATACATTGCAGACAGACGCTGTTCGAGATACGAAGAAACCTCAATCGAACAAGTCCTTCAGCGGCCGTAAACTAGTTGTTTTGGCATGCCTATGTAGGTCGCGACCATGGAACAGGTGGTATTGGTAGTCAGAGACTGCCTTGCATGGATAATTTGGATTCGCCAACATTTGGAAACTTCACGATGCGCGCCTCGTGCACCCCTTCGTGCGCGGTCTACGTACAATTGACGCGCACTTCAGCGCACGAATATTCACCATCTTGTATCGCCCCCACCACGTCCTGCTGCAGGCGATGATCGCGGGGAAGAACTATGGCGGGGTGTACCGCTACGTGGGCCTCGGAGTTTGGTTGTTCATCTCGACCTTTATGGTCCTCGACCGCTTCTACTGGAATGTTTGGCCCAGGCAGACGATATGCACCGACGGGTGCGGGGGCGACTTTTTCTGCGAGATGGACGACGTGAGTATAGTCACGAGAAGAAGGAGAGTCGCTCCTCTTCGTTTTGTCGTACAATATTGCCATTTATATGTGCTTCCGCGATATGCACGGCCATTTGCTGGTGTTCGTACGCAGTTGTTGAGTGGGGTTGGTCGTTTCGCTTTTAGTCAGCGTGCGACCTACAGCACGTGTTACACGCTCACCAGATGCCGACCCCTTCCGTACTTCTTGACTCTGTTTCGGGGTTCCACTGCGTATTTCCTCTCGCAGATTGACCCAACATTTCCCTCCGCGTCATTGGTCACGAAGATCTTGAATTGAGAAAGGATGAAGGTTTAGGCTATTTATTCTGTGGTGTGTAGACACAAGGCAAAGAAAAGATCGCTGTCACCATGGACACCATGGTCTGACCTCGTGACGCTGACTCCCAGGATCGTGGTTATTCCCCCCCTCCCGCTTTTCAATGTGCAGGACCCAGGCTGCCTCAAGGATGGCCCCTGGTCTGCGAAAACGTTCGACGTAATAGCTCGCATAAGCGCAAGATTCATCATCTCCACCACCAAGTGAGAGCGGTATCCGTTCAGGGAACATTGATGTACGTGTTGTGTCTCAGTGCCGCCCAGGCAGGGTTCTGGAACAAATAATTTAATATCTGCATTCCCGTTGACGAAGCAAAACATTGTGCCTGCGAGAGAAAGGTCTACATGAGAGACGCGCGCACGACGCATATGCACGTAATATTGAACGCCAGACAGAGGGAAGACCCATGACTTGAGATGCCATCGACTGAGAGCAGAGAAACTCGCTTGCAAAGGTCGTCTGTGGGCTAAAGGGTACGGTAGTTCGCCCACATATCTTCTGAGGAGGCTCTGCAAGCTTGTACTGAGTACTGCCAGTGGTTTGCCCTAATCTCCCCTGCGTATCTCAATCGCCCCCACAGCTTGATGTTCATCACAATGTGCCACGGCACCTGGAACTACCTTTCGGAAGTACAAGTGCTCCGGCCATTCCTGTACGCGTGGCGCACCGACAACTTTTGGCTGCACTCCATCGGAGGCTGGACCATGGGCATCTGGACGATGCTCCACGTGTATTCTTTGCTCCTGCCTTCAATTTTTCACGGTTTCAAGAATGTGGCTGTCGGTGGCCCGGTAGAGCTTCCCCTCCAGGTGTGAACGCCTTTCGCACCACCTACTCGTCATACCCCTGTCAGCTCATCTACAGTAGATACATTACGGCGAAGTCGTTGATAAATGTGTGGTTTTGCGTGCATGAAGACCATTCTTTGATTTTCTGTGGAAGGTTTATCCAGTTATTTCCCAATATTCACGGCGCTACAACCAAACCCGGGGTCACACCAGTACCAAATCAATGCCTGAAAAGAGCGAAAGCGTCCGGCGAGAGCACCGCGGTGCACGGTAGTCGTTGAACGTCAAAAATAACGTTATGTTATTACCGGCTTCTCCTGCTCGTTGGTCTGCACTAACGAAAAACAAACATCTACAGTTTCCAGTCGAGACCTACACATCCTTCTGAAATGTGCAGAGCAGAGTCGAACGAAGTAGGTCTCGGCATCCATTGCGCCATCCTCACCCTATGCAGCGGCGTGTGTTTTTCTCAAGAGATGCTTTATTGTAGCGGTGCTATTCTTGCCACGACTGGCTTCGCAAGAGATTCTCAGAGAAACCTTCCTGTCATGACGAACTGCACCATTCTCTTGTAATTCCCGCGCTGGTTGGGTGGTGAATATCAGACACATACAAGAAGAGGCGTTGAAGTCCACAACAGACGCGAACACCAGGTTGAGAACAAGGACCGAACGAAGATACGCCGTTCATGCATGCTACAAGAGTTGTGTTTTGTACCATATGTTGCTTGTTGGGTTAAGTCGCTCTCGAACGCAGTCCCCCAAAACGTCGAAAGGTGCCAGCCCCGATTTATTTTTTGAAAACAGAATCAAAAACTGTGTTGGGGGTGGGTCAAGTCATCGCTCTCGTATTTAGCCCCCGAAAACTTGGAAAGGTGCCAGTCCCGATTTATTTTCGGAAAACAGAATCAGCAACTGTGTCGCGGAAACCAACAATCCGAATGAGGGAAACGGCAGCTGGTCGTGGTTGTGTGGTTGCGTGGTGAATACAGAAATGACACTTTTTTTTGGGAGATCTGCTCGATTTGAACGCGCCATATTCCAATTTGGAAGCGGTGTTGGCAGGAAACGCTACAAGTCATCGTGTTCACCATTGACTTCGCATGACTACTACAGTGTAGTGCACCGTGTCACGACGACCAGAGAATGGCACCACCACCCACTAACGAACGATAAGTGCGGTGAGATGTCAAACCCTGAACATACCACAGACCATGGACATGCACCAACGCCGTTCTCTTTCAAGTGAAACTTCGGCCCCAATTTGTTCTTCACTCTCGTCCCGAACTTCAATGGCCTTTTCACGTGTGGAGGGGCTGCCGTAGCGTGTTCGGTTAAAAACCGATTGATCGAGATACGGAGGGCGAATCAAATACCACTAGAAAATAACGAGTAGTGTCGCAAGCCCAGATAATCGGAAACTCTTCCATCTGTTTTTTCACGATTTGCAGGTGAGCCTTGCTGTGAGCAACGTCGACCTGGACAACAAACTCGCCAACTGGGGCTACGATGACATCTGGCGTATCATCTGGATGACTCTCATCTTTTGTGTCCTGACACCGCTGTCGCGCTCGGCCTGGGCGCTCAAGAAGAACTTCACTCTCGCCATGTGGCTTCACATTGTGAGACAAATCTATTCGGACCCGTTGTTGTCATACCCACATGACAGCTTTCGCGGGGGGCATATTGTAGGTCATACGAAGATTGGGGCCATTTCGGGCGGATGCACATTCATCGCCGTAGCCAGAAGTTTGCCATGCGATCCTTGAAGACGTGATAACATGCCATCCCAAAGACAACCCATTTTTGCCGAGAGAATCAAGGCAGCCGTAAAGAATAGCGCCCTGATATCCTCAACCGCCCCCCCACCACGCACCGGTCGCGGAACCTTTTGCAGGGCGTGGGGGTAGGATACTTCTTCGACAATTGGCGACGCAGGACACATCCGCACGTCTGGATTCTAAACACTCCCGTCTTTCTGTGGTACATCGCGGACAAGGTCTGGTGCTGCACAAGGGGCAGGTGAGACGACGACGAGCGTTCCTTAGTAACGTTGCAATTCGGCCAACGGTGTGTGTAGGTGCACGCCCGCTGAGCTAAAGCGAAGACGACGCGTGACGCACCCGGCAAACCGCGCAATGAGATGCTTCGTCACACGGTGGGGGTAGGAGATAATCAACAAGACAGGCGTCGACGGAATCGGTCGCAAACCGGTTGCATTTTTTCATGCTAGAATTGCGCTGGGTTTCATACCCATAGATTTGTTCAACGCAACCACCTCTTGATAGGATTGTAATGCGTAATATGAGGGTCTCTGCGCGAGAAATCGCTCTGTAGATGCAAGCTAGTCGATCATGGGGCAACGGTTGGCCGGGGCCCGACATTCGCACTCGTAAACTCACTGGTCGAACCCGTTCACACGAATTTATGGCAGAGTGGACGACCGTGCTGAAACTACGCGCATCTCTTTGGACGAGGACTACATGCTACTGCTGTGGCATGAGGAGCACCCTAAGCGCATCTGCGACATATTCTGGCTGAAGCACAGAGACAGGTATGGCCACTCCCAGCGGCATCGGGGTTGAGGTACAGGAGTCTTGAGTATCATAGAGACGAAAACCTATGCATACGAAGATTTCGCTTGTTGGACCTGAGGTCGTCACATACAATTAATTCTGGCAACGCATCTCGCCCACCTGGTTTCCCCGTGGCCTCACGCGTTTCATGGCAGCGATGGCACAGAGATGGCGCACCCATTCACCACGTGCTCGTCCCATGACACGCCCAACAAGCAAGCTACCGCCTCCGGCACTGCGGCGGTGAGTCCTCTGCTGTATCCGCAAGTTCCAAAGTGTATGGAGTTGGTCTTGGCCACTTGATCTTGCGCAGGACACCGAGTACCCTTGGTGTCTTGCAGCTCCATACTCTCTGACCACATGCCACGTTGCTAATCCCACCTCATGTTGGGAGCTACGCCCGATAAGGACATCGCGCGTTCACAAAAAATGAACGGAACCGGGGGCTTGGCGACGGTTATCGGTGTTGTGTAGCGGCGGATGCTGTCAAACACGTGTAAAACCAATTCCGTTTATCTCGAACTGAGGATAGCGCTCCAACCACTGCTCTATTCTTACGCGTGCCATCAAGGGCAACAACTTATAGTACGATAGAGTGCGTCCGACGCCAACTATTTCATCACTGTTCACCTAGAGATCGTTTGTCCAACAGTTCCCCATCCCCATACAACCCAAGCACAGGTGAAGACCACGATCGAGGTCCCGACAGACACCAGCGTCCACTGGAAAGGCCACCGGTTCTTGCTCGCCAGCAGCAGCGGTCGGCGGTCCAACGCGACGGACCCCAATCGCCGTTCGGTGCGATCCTTCTTCAGCGGCAAGAGCTTCGGGGCGCAAGGCTCGTTTGGCAGGTAGGAGAACGGTCGCCTTTAGTCCACTCGTTCCGGAGCGAATGGGGCGAGGCTGAGTTCATGCTGCACGCAGAGTCGGCGAGGTTTGTGCTGGTTAGGGGACTTCGTTGCTGCACATCTCAGTTGAACACTCCGCACTCTTGCTATTAAACCTCTGTTTGTTGATTGCTGACCCCTAGCCTTTAACTGTGTCTGTCGTCGGCTGTGGCCGCGGTGCCCAGGGTGTCATCGTTCCGCTTCGGGCAATCCAACCCCATGCGTGAGGCCCGGCTGGCATCATCCCACACGGGTAGCAGCCAGGACGTTGACGTGGACTCTTTCTTCGAAGAGGACGAGAAGGATGAGCCCGGGGAGACCACGATGATTGGGGTGGACGCAAACCCAGACATTGATGAGGTCTCCATCATGGTGGGAGGGCTGAAGCCGAAGGGTTCCCGCTCGTACAGCCGTGAGTGTTGAGATCTGGTACAACTTCAACGAAGGAACGCGCTGCTGCCGGCTTGCGGTGGAGTTTATCAACTACTCTCAAAGCAACATCTCCTGCAAGTTTTCCGCTCTAGCCTCTTACCAAGTTTGCCCATACTTGCGCACGGCGCAGCGACATTCGGGCTTCCCACACTTTCTACAGTTTTCACAAACGACCCATGGGACTCCCACGGGTGCCCCATGGGTCACCAATGGGCATGACCATGAGCAGCCTATGAAGTGCCCATGAAGTGCCCATGGGCGGCCCATGGGTGACCCATGGGTGTCCCATTGGCGGTTTAACAAAACTGTCAGTAGTGTGGGAGATATTACGACATTCTTCCTCGTCTCTGAACGTCTGTCTTGACATCCCTTCCCCCATATTGGCTTCCCGAGCAGTCCCACGTCTCGGGACGATTAGCGGAGGAGTGCCAGAGGTCAGCACTACGAACGACGGAAGTGGTGTCAAATCTGCAAGGTACCAGATCTCCGCGTGGCGTTCTCTGAGCAAGTATCGATCCCTACGCGTGGCGGATTGTGCCGCACTTGAGTCTGTTGTGTATATCTTCGGCCTACAACAATCTTGCAAGATGGATTACAGTAGTTTTTTTTACCGCCAACGGTCAAGCGATCATATCACCGCAGAAGAAGACAGGTATAGTCCCCCCGTGGTGTGAAAGATACCATAGAATAAGAGCTTGTCTTGCCAGACATCCAGAGACTAGTTGCAGGATAATCCCTGGGTGAAGGTGAACATGAACGATTTCGCAGAATGTTGCTGACAGACCGTCTTCAATCACAACAACGTTCAAATTTACTCAGACGGGCCCACACTGTTGCACATCATGCACGTTGCACATTTGTATACCTTCGCCGGTCTAGTGCGCTATCCTTTGACCTCATGCGTGTGTTCTTCGTGCAAGATGTATGCATTCTGATGTAGTGTGGCAGAAACCTTTGTCGCTCTTCAGCAGTCGTTGCGAGTGCGCCGAAGCTCACGTCTGTACAACGTTCCCGCGTCTCATCTCATGAACTCCGCATGTCCCCGGTTTGCACCCTAACCCTGTAAGGCCTGACAAGCCTGTCAAAAAGGAGACCGGTTCCGACGTCGGGGGACCAAACAGAAGGGAGGTGATCAGGAGACTCAGCACGAAAAATTTCATAGAGTACCGCAAGGCCGAGGCCGAGGAAGGGCGGCTGGAAACAGTCGAGGCAGGGTCTTGGAGCAAGATGGCCATCGTGAAAGTAAACCGGAGGACGTCCAAAGCCAGGTGAGGCAGTCAAGGGTATGATGCACGGAGAAAATCAACGGCAGAAGGTTCTGGAGCGCTGAATAGAACAAAAAACTGTCGTAACGTTTCCCAGTGCACTCATTCGTCATTCACCCCGACATATCGTATGAGCGCGTGTACGTCAGTCGCACCGTATGCCTGTCAAGCCCAACGCTTGTGCCGAAGTCTCTTCTTGAAAACATTTTTCGTGGGTGTCCCGAAAACGACAGGTTCAGGGTTCAGCGGGCCGAAATGGCAGGACTAGATTTCCACAGCCTCCACTCCATGGAGAACGGTTGCGTGGAGGGCGATTCGATACTCATCAAGGGATCGCGTACTGCTCGAATATCGAGCCTCGAAGTAGCTATTGTTGGCCCTATTCTCTACTCCCCATACTTCAAACAATCAATGTCTACGCAATGCAATCCGTGAATTCAACCACAGTGTGCACATTTACCGACCTTGGCAACTGCCACATGCGTCCATCGAATGGTATTCTCCGAAACAGCAAGTGCAGCTGCATGGGGCTCACATTCATCTTGAGCATCTTCCGCGATCCCGAGACTTCGAGCATTGCCGACCTGGAGGCCGCCCAGCGGAACGCTCCGCTCCAGCTTCGCACGTACGGCCCCTACCGTTCAGAGTACGGCCGCCTGGCGGAGTTCCCACACCTGCCCCCCCTGCTGGTACGAACGTTTTCGGGAATCGGGAATATTCGGAACGTTGTCGAGAACCCTTCGGAGGGTCGTTGAAGCGTGCTGTGGCTGAGAACGTTCAAACACTTGGCCAGTCTAGTGCGCTGAAAGTCCTTGCAAAGGTATGCATGACATCGTGCCTTTCGTCATGCCTGCTGCATCCACCGCATCTCTTGTAACAGATCGTTGCTACAGGTGCGGGTGCGGCTCTCGTGCTCGACTTCATTGGGTATGTTCGGGCCAACAACATCGTGCCTCTGCGGCCGGTGTCGGTGTGCTATTCTTCTGCTAGCCTGGCGCTGCTGCAATTCGTCACCAACACCCTTCTCGCCGAGCGGTCCCCCGGGATTCACATCCAGACCGCCCTGACACGTCACGAAGATCTTGAGGTAACTAAGCCTTACAAGTAACATGAGTTGGTATCAAGTGTTGTCATACTTTTGGAAATCGTGAGGCTGTCGGAGGTTGGATGATAAGCCTTCTGGAAACGACGCCTTTCCTCGCAACATAGTACCGGAGGGACCACACAAGTGGAATACAGCGTCTCTCCCATGCAGACAGATTACACCCACACGGAGCAATTGCCCTGATCCCCACAGATCAGTCAGACCGTTGCACACGAAATAGAACCGCGGGGTTGATCCAAACTTCCTGTAGCACGGAGGAACGGGAACGCGGGCTCTTGTCGCTCAGCGAGACAGGCTGGACCCGATGTTCTTGCCGCCATCTCACCCACCTTTCATCAGTAGTTGCCGCCGCTTGTGTTTTCTGAACTCATCCACGGTTGATTGCGAACCACAAAATGTCACGCACGCTCTACCTTTGTAGGTCACCCCTGATATTTCGCCGCACTTCTTCTCCGCTTTAGCGAGTGAAGACGGATAGTGTTGTTTGCGTAGACCAACGGCTCATCCGGTTACCTACTCTTTCTGTAGGCTATGTACATCCTTACGATTGGCGAACTGGAATATTCTCCACCCGACACTCTCTTACAAAGATGTTGCACGAAATATTATTCATTCCTCGCTGGTCTTCTTCCTTCACAGATTGTTGATTCGGCCAACGGTCCCGAGCCCGAGCTGGTCATGGGTCGCCTTGACATCAAGGTGAGCGATCGACGTTCCGTCCCATACATTCACTGTTTGTACTCGGGTGCTACTGGATGGTGGATGGGTATCTACCTATCTGCCAAGGCGATGGACAATTGCACGTTCTTGCCAGACGCCACGTCGTCGTGAAGGTCGACGTCCAAACCCTGAAGACAACCCGTCTACCGCGTGCAATTGGAAAAACATAGAGTACCGGCCATTTGTTTAGACGAAGATGGCAGGCAACGCGTGACATCCTGTGGGTGTAAAAACAGTCTCACTGCATTCATTTATTTTGTGTTGATTTTTCCATTGTCAGCGCAACACGACAAATTCCACATCGTTCCTCGCCTGCTACATTTCGAGAGTACTGACAAGTTTGTGAAACCGGCGTTCGCGGGCGTTGCCCCGCTGGTGTTAAAATGCTTGGTGTTTCCTCAGAAAATCATCGGCGAAGTTTCCCAAGAAACGGAGGTTTACTTCTGCGGTGGTGGGGGCATCAACGCACTTCTTCGCGAGACGTGCACTAGGCGTGGCATCAAGTACGTCGGCAGCTCCGTCCAGTGAAGGGAACCAACCTTACGGTTGCGCCATATTAATTAACACCCTGGTCATCCACGATCGGCGGGTGGGATTCCCCCCCAGACACCAGCAAGGATGCCTACAATAATAATGGAAGACGAAGATCAAGTGTCTCGAATCATCCACTGGGCGTTGCAAACGCGGAATTTACTTGTTGCTACCAGCTTGAGGATCCCCCCTTGCTACCTATCGACCACGATGTGGACCTAGGGGTGATCTAAACACACACGCCGTCAATAAGACGCAGACCACTCCACCCCTTGACGTACAACGTTGAGCGGGAAATCCCTCACAAATACGTTAGTAGAAGAAACGGTGTAGCTTGTTTGTCTTGTTTTCTTGACTACCCGCTGAGACGACGTGGCGTTACCGTTTCGTGGGCATTTAGCGTCTGTCGGTGCAAAGTTCATGGTTACGTCGAAGCAGTTTGTATTGTTTCGGTATTGAATCGGTTGTACTGCGTTGGTGCCGTACGGAAGTAGGTAATGTTGCATGCATGTTATATGAGTATCTGCGTTGAAGTTCCAGTGGTGTAGACTCGTGTAGCCTCTATGTAGTGATCGTCTTGGTTGATTTTGGTAGCCACTTCAAAGGCATATCAGCGGCTTCACGAGAAGCTCACTTGGGAATGAACGGCCGCGTTGTATGCAAAGTACTACTGCGGAACGCGAATTTTTTGCCGTGGTCGTGTTGTGGCGGACTGTCGCTTTTCTATTGACGTGTACAGTGGTTGTCGAGGTACATTAACAGGGCGAACGCTGGTTGTTCATTGCGTGTACCAGCGGTACGCTGTCAATCTGTTTCGAGGTTTGCATAGTACGGCATCAAAATACTTGTAGCACCATTCATGTAGACAAAAGAGTAGCAAACACGTTTTTCCTTTGCATCTTTCGCGTACGAAGACTACCATGCGAGCACCGCCCAAGGATGTACAGATTTATGCTAGCAGAGATGAAAAAGTGGCTACCATTGTTGTTACCGTTTCTGTCGTAAATCGGGAGAGTAGCCCAGCCTCGACCACGATGCCTCCTCACGAGGCCCTAGATCGTAGCCATTAGAAGCATTTGTGTTTCAACCACACTTGAGACTGATATCTTGTCATATGGCCCGCCGGGTAGCGCGGTCGTCACACATAAAACGAAGTCGAGATATCCATAGTATCTCTCCCCCTCTTGGAGTCTTCTTGGTTGGGCAAGAAGGGGTCTAGGGGTATCCCAAAACCGGCGGACTGGCGGGGAGTCGATTCACTTCTTCACATTGTCCGTGCGTGACTTCACGGGCTTGCTATGCGTTCGTCGGCCACGTCAATAGAAGCTGAGGAGTTCCAAGAATGGGGTCGAAATCTGAAGGGTCAACTAGGCGGGGTGCGGAAAGCCCGTATTTTGGGCGCTGCGTGGCGCAGGTGGTAGTCGGCCGTGAAAGGCCGAGAGAGAGAGAGTGGGAGATAGAGTGGGAGAAGGAAACCATAGTGGAAAGAGAGACCGAGGTGGAGGTGGAGATGGAGGGAGGAAGTGCATCTCATGCGCACAAGCCTCACCGCCCCACCCACTGAAAAGGGGCCCAATGGTTTCACCCGTGGTACGCCACAACACACGAATCTCCCAACCCGTAACCCCCAAGATCCTCGCGACCAGATTCAGCACTACTGACTGCTGCGAGTACGTCAAACACTCACCATTGATGGAGCAGCAGCACAAGCCAGTCATCAGTGTAGTCTTCTGGATGAATTGTTTTCTCTGGGAAGCAAGGTTTCGTGTTAGAGGTGGTTGCACACCTGGCTATCGTGCGATATGGCGGAGAATGGCCATAATATTCGTTCAGTTAATTACAGGTATTGGGCCCAGAAAAAAATCACGCCCGCTCATTGGGAGAGGTTGTACAGCCCCGAGGGACGAATGCTGACTTGGATTTAGACCGAAACGTGTCCCCAGACGCACTGGGGACACTGTCCATACTGCATTCAAGTCAGCAAATTTTCCAGTACTAGGCGATACAGACTTTTCCCAACAAGGGGATACGCGATTTTGGACATATGTGTACAGCAAGTGAGAGGCCGAGGGAGAGGCATCACACCGTGTATCACACAGCATACCACGTCACACAACCATGGCAAGCCAAGGTTTCCCACGCGTGCTTTTCACACAGCGGAGCCTGGTGACGACTACGGTGCGGCAATCAAACGTTTGAGAGCCGTGTCCCCAAACTGTCCCCATTTGGGCGTCGGGTACTGAAAGGGGTTTGCCCCTGCAGGTAAATGCCTCAAATAAAACGCCCGAAACACGAGGACCCGCCATTTGTTTTTGAGCAACCATTTATGCGGGTACTTTTGACCCGTCTAGCTCCACCCTCCGTTGAATGCGGTACGAGGACAAGGCCATTTATTTATCGAAGCAACGTCACACCATCTCGCCCACAGGAGACGTACACCGTGTAGGAGAGTTCACGACGAGGCGGACTTCCTTCGACGAATAATGTCGTCCGCCAAGCGCAAGATCCGTGGACGTTTTCCATTCCATCTCGCGCGGTTTCAATGCGGGCTAGTCATTTCTTCGGAGATTGCCGGGGAAGTTACAGTACAGCTCACGCCCACCCGAACGTTCGGGATATAAACGGCGGCGGTCCCCAATGGCGGCGGTCCCCAATGGATGGCACGGAGGAGTACCCACCGATGCACTAGAAGATAGACGCAGAGTCAGAGATACTAGGCGTAATGTCGAAGACATTTAGAGTCCTTTCATCTTCAGTTCAACGGTAGAAATACACAAGGTCAAGAGCGAGGTGCAGTGATGGTCGCGACGAAGACACGATAGCAGCAGCAATCTTCCTGGCGCAAAGTGAAGTCGGATAGAGACCATAATCCCGTAATGCAAGGCAAACATACTATTGTAGTATGGGAGAAGCAGATGATACGGCATCAATGTTCAATCTCCTACTGACAGTTTTGCTAGACCGCCCATGGGACACCCATGGGTCACCCATGGGTCATCCATGGGCCGCCCATGGGCTGCCCATGGGCGGCCGATGAAGTGCCCACCGTGGGTACTTCAACCTAGATCTTCGCCACCGGCATATCAACCAGAAATTAGCCACCTTCACATCAACTTACAGACCATCGCCACCAGCGCCAACCTAGCACGTATCGTATGGGCTTGGGGTTAGGGTTAGGGTTAGCGTTAGGGTTATTACCCGTCGCAGTGCACGTTCCAAATCAGATAATCTATTGTTTAGGAATCAACTGCCGCGGTTGAAGGGCTCTCATTGGCCGCCCATGGGCCACCCATGGGTTGCCCATGGGCTACCCATGGGCAAGCCCGTGGGCGGCCCATATGGGCTGTCCCATGCCCATGGGTGACCCATATGGGTCACCCATGGGCATCTTGTTGCCCATAGGGCACCCACGGGGCACCCATGGGGCACCCATGGGCTGCCCATGGGCCTGAAGGGGTTGCGCATGGGCGGACCATCGGTGACCAATGGGTGACCCATGGGAGTCCCATGGGTCGTTTGGAAAAACTGTAGAAAGTGTGAGAGACCCTCAATACTGCTCTCTTGGTGGTATTTATTTACGAAGTCTTCTCTTGTACACATCATCTGAAGCAGGAGCGACACGCTCGGCCAACTCCTCGGTACGTTTTGATTAGAAGGCGTGTTCTCGTTTGTTCTGCCGCTCAAAGATCGACGGCTGTTATTGGTCAGCCGGCCAGCGCGGTCGATGCTACAGCAATTAATGAGATACGTGCACGCAGCGAGGGTGCCGGAGTATCTACGAATGACCGAGTTGGGACGGAAAAAAATGTCCATCGTGGTGTTAGCGTCTCTCGTGTTAAGGCGATGGTTCGGAACGGAACAAGATTGCCGCCATAGCATGCGTGTACTGACGCATATCCATCCATCTAAACGGCAGCATTAAGCTGCAGATAGCTTGCGGTATTGCCGCTCAATGCGTCACAGCAAAACTTCCTGTATATCACAGGCCCAATCACGTTTGCCGGTACTTTTGAAGGCTTCCGACACGCCCACCGATGATGTACGTCGTTGCTTGACGTTTGCCTCGGCGTTTCTTCCCGCATCATGGCAAACAGCCCCACATTCCGGGACGGTTTCACGGCGGAGTGGCGCCGTCGTCCCGACGAATGAGAGAAGAAGAAAGCTGAACTTTTCAAGGTACCACTCCATGTAGGGTTTCCGTATGAAAACAAATAAATAGTGCGGAGTCTCTTGCACACGAATCTGCACCAAATAGGCGTTTTGTTCCAAAAGGCTGTGGTGAAGGTGGCGTCTCTGCAATATTCCCGCATCTCAGTTCAAATCCTTTCCCGGTTTGTACGCAAATACCTGGGGGTAAATTGAGCCCGTAGAAGTGGAGGTCGGTACGAATGCGGGAGGGCCAAACAGAAAGGATGTTTTCAAGATACTCAATACGTCCAATTCCAAGATTTCCGTAAGGCGGAGGCCACGGAAGGGCCGCTGGGATCGGTCCGGGCAGGTTCGTGGAGTACCGTATATGACACAAGATAACACACCCCCTGGCCCGATTTTCAAAGCTCGATTACTCGATGACGAAGAGGATACATAAACGAAATTATACATTTTCGAAAAGCTCCCAACGCGACGGTTCCAACGCCGCCGTTTTCGGCGCTGTGAGTCTCCCTGCTGTTGAGAAATAGATCTTTGAAAATCGGTCAAGGGGGTGTGTTATCTTGTGTCATATACGGTATGGTGGCCATCGTGAAAGTAACCACGAGGGCGTCTAACGCGAGGTGAGCGCGGCAGAGATTGTCACGGACGCTGCATCCTAGCAATTGCTGGGTGCGTGCATAGTTGGCACCCTGGGATTTCCCATGGGTAGCAATATGGGCCGCCCATGGTCTTTTATATACATACGCGGGTGTCCCCAAAATCGAACGGGCCCAGGCAACGGGAAATGGCAGCGTTAGATTTCCACCGTGTCGAAGTATTCGAGGAGATGCGTGGGTCTCAACATTTCCAACCTCAAAGCAGAGTGTTTTTTCTTGGTAGCGCCTCACCGTCGGTATTTGGCAACATTATTTTTGTATTGGAAATAAAGGGGCCTATGTTAAGGAGTGTGGCTGCTAGCTTAAATAGGGTACATCTTATTGTTGATAGGATGTGGGTCGGTCTCAGGAGGTATACCCTTCAGACACCTACCCTCTTAGGATTTTTGTCTAGTCTGCGTACCCCCCTGAGGTGAAGTTGGATCCCCACTTCACCTCAGACCCTTGCTGATCGTCTCTCAGCAATAACAAGCAACTTTCTCATCTCTACGTGATCGTGGACAAGCGTGTCAACGACAGAACCTACCTTCATCTATCTCTAGGAGCAAGCTACCACCCACGGCTTCCCCTCCTTTAAACCTACATGGCATGACGTCGGTATTTGGCGACACGTTTGAAAAGGGCACCGCATATTCGGTCAAATTAGACCATCCGACTAGTCAGCGCTGACTAGTCGGATGGTGCTGACTAGTCGGATGGTCTAATTTTACCGAATAAAAGATATGCTCAGAGCTCGTTAGCACCCGGCCGGATCACATGGGCTTGGGAATGAGTAGAGATCTCCGGGGCCGGACCCCTCGCCAGACGGCGCTGTTTGGTAAACACACATCACTGCTGTCGTCTCGGCAACACACAGCCCACACAGAGCCCACACAGCCAACACAGCACGTAGCACGCAGCACACAGAGGAGGAGGAGGAGGAGCCTGTGCGACATGGAGGAAACATCCACGCTATTGTTGTTGCTGCTGCTTCTGCTGCTGCTGTTCCTCCAGTTGACGGCACGGAAGAAGTACTAAATTTATTAACAGCTAGCCGCCGAAGCGGCAACTTTTGTTCATGATCACCAGACGCTAACCCAACCCACAGGAACAAGAGGGGCTAGCATACTGGTGCAGTAGCACTGTGCATCACTCACTTATGTATCCCTGCTGTTGGTGGTGGTTCTTGTTGATGTGGCTGGTGTGGAAGGACTGCTGCGCAGATAGAAAGAGAGATGCGCTTTCTCTTTGCCGTTCGTTGGGGTTTCGCGGAAATGTACCGCAGAAGGACAGCAGGGATCTTCATCTCATTGCACGTATCACAAGCCCGGACCCTGTCGCACATCTGTAGACTACAGCACGACTCGTACTCTACTATTCTTCCAGTCGTTGTTGTTTTTGGTGTCGTAGTGCGGCATGACCGCGCATAGTGAAAGCGAGAGCCAGATGCTCTTACACGCCGTTGGGAATTTTATGCGCGGGCGTCGACGACATCGTATCTTTACACCACACGAGCAAGCGCGGATCTAATCGATCTCATGGCAGCACCGCCTCACCCTACATATTTGCTGCTACAATCACCGCTATTTCTGCTGCCCTTGAATACCGCTACTGTTGGGCTTCCTTGCTTTTGCGAGGGGCGGTGTAGTTCACTGATATGCATCGAGAGATCTACATGACGGCAGAAGATTCTTAATGCTGCTGTATGTAGTCCGTAGTAGGTGCTTTTGTGCGCATGGCCACAAATACAGCATCGATAGGGGACACAAGGGACCGTTATTCAAGGTGAAGACAGCTCGAAAGCTGTCCTCCTGCTTTCTCCCCATCTACTGCAGAAGTCCTCTTGTGAATCGACGTCGTGGTCGTCGAGATATCAACAGCTTCGCGGAGAGAGAGCCGCGACGGGGCAGCATAATCAGTAAAAAAATCGGCCAAAAAAATAAAAAATCGCCTCTCCTACACGGCAGAGGCGGGGTATGTGTCAACTACAAACCATGTAACCATTCACGAGCCCCCCCGCGATGGTTGTTGATGTTGATGTGACGTGCAAGTTGTGGTTGATGATTGGTGGGATGTACGAAAATGCGGTGTCACCTACCCGCTCGATGCGGCCGATGCAACGATTGTGTTCACCTCTCTCTCTCTCTCTCTATCTCTTTCTTCTAGGTGGGAAATCATGATACCAGACCAGGGACCCATGGCGGACTCCCCATGTACTCTTGCCGTTTGTGTTGCTCTGGCCAATGCTCTGCCGAGCTACATCAGGCGGCTGCGGGATAACAGTGGTGGTGCTACTTCAACCGTTTTGCTTCTCGCCGCTACCTCCGTGCTGTTTGCATACCTTTCTTTCCTGAGGCGGTCTTCGCAGGGGTCAACTCCAGCATTCCGTCGGCTGCGTTCCAAACCGGCTGGGGCCGGCAAAGAGGGCAAGAATTGGGAAAACGTGGTCATGGGAGGAGGAGGAAAGGATGACGGAGGGGTACACGTCACGTGGTTGGGCTCGCGCGAACTCCGGGTGCTGGAAGCTTGGGCAGACACGCTGTTGCCGGGGTTCGACGTTGATGACAAGGAGGCTGCCGATGCCATTGCCGAGCAGGTACACACATGCTAAGTTGTTCACCAGTGAGCACCGGGTACTGGTGCGTGCTGCGCGCGATTTCTTCATTTCGCGGTTCCTTTTTTTGCTTTGGTGGCCCTGCAGGAGCTACAGTCTACAAAGTACATTGCAATCGCCAGCTCTATTTCTGCGTACCGCGTACCCCCAATACTGCACTCCATACGACACCGCATAGTTCTGGTAGGTCATCACATTTTTATGCCTGCTGAAACTCATCGTCGTATACATAAGCAGCAACCGCGACGTCACAACCACGCCACACCAACCAAGGATCTACGTGGGAGCAGGGCCTAAGATGCTGTACCGTCCAAGGGTGCAACCCCTTCCCAACATCTTCCTTCTATGCATACGCACTTCGGACGTAACATACAGTGAGATGCATACCGTAATTGTGCGTGTTATCGCACCCCCGTGTTGGCGTTTTTCTATTGCGTATTTCTCCACAACTAGGAGGGTGCGAACACCAACTGATAGAACACCAACTGATACCTCCCCGGAAAGCCCTTGACGAGATGTTTCCAAAACCACCCTTTTCGGAGGTGATACCTCCTTAGTTGTGGAGAAATACGCAATAGAAAATCGCTAACACGGGGGTGCGATAACACGCACTATTACGGTATGATGGCCAAACTGTCTTGTAGAGCCTGCTACCCACAGCGGGAGATTTCGGCGGGTGTTCCTCGGGGAGCCGGCGAAACACTTGTCGTGCTGCCGCTAGCGCTATGGATCCATTCTATCCTGGACTCTCACATGCGGATCGAGATGGACTCGTCGTGTTAATAAAATCAACAAGAAAAATAAACTTGTACCGAGAATACGCAACGAGAGGTCTCGCCCTGGCGGTTGTGTATTGTACGTTTTGGCTGGTGGTACCCGACACGTGCAGGTTCAACCCCCGCACCCACCTTGTATTTTTGGCTTGTTTGCAAGAGCCCACCATAAAAAAAACTGGAGCAGAAGAGAACGACACAGAGAAAGGGTGCGGTAGGCGAATGCGCTGCAGAGGGACAAGATAGAGCGCCACAAACCACCCCGAAACTCTGCGGATGATCAACGAATTGCCTGTGTGGTGGTGTGGTCGGCCTTGAAGGCCGACTGGGTGGGGGAACAGGGACTATTCGATCGAATTTTTGACCCCTACAGGTCATACATACGAACATGACTCTTCGTTTGTCGTTCATAGCCGTTGGCGCCGCTCGTCGCAGGCCACAACTTCCAAAAAACACACCCTACACCCTCTGCGTACGTAAATATGTGTTTCCGCGCTCTACTGCACAGGCTGTTCTTTGTTGGTTCGTGACGATGCGTACGAAAGGATCGAGCGTTCCAGAGCATCTCGCAGTTCTACACCAGTAACCTACTCTTCTCCCCTTCCTCAAACATATGTCTCTCCGCAGGGGACTACGAGTCCCTGCAAACCAAACACAGGGTTGCTAGTCCTCAAAGATGGAGCACAGAGTATTCTGCTATTAAAAATAGAGCGCTGGAGAGAATTGCCACTGACTGCTTTGTGCTGCTATGTGTCCGTTCGCAGGGTATGTTTTCTCTACATAGGTGCCTTTTTATTCCGAAACTTGCACGACGGAAAAAGACAGAGCCTCGACAAAGGGTACCAGGAGGGTGCGGCAGTCTCGTTAGGTTTTTGCAGAGCCCGTTTAGCTTTGCAAAGCATCCCTCTACTTTCCGTGGTACTTCCAGGTGTTTGTGCCAGCCCGATACGTAAGCTTGATCGGTATCCTACCTATTGTTGTGGTAGATGAATGGGGCAGTGGGGGGGGTATATCTGGTTCTCTGACGATGGTATTCTGAACGCACTTCTTTTCTCTGCCTCGCCACGTTGCCTCTGAACAAGCATAGAGAGTACCACTAGGCGGTTTCATCCAATGAACGGCAGTACGGCGGTGTTGCGAGGTGTAGGACACCGTGAGGAATTGTCACGAATATCGTTCGAATGTCAGAGTACCTGTCTGAACCGCGAATTTCCAAACTTGTACCATCTACGCATGCGTTCCGCGTGGCCATCGCGCAGGCAATGAACCTTCTGATTCCTTGCGTCAGCGTAGCGGTAGCATGTAGTCTTGACCATCGCTCTTGGCAGGAAATAAATCGGTGTTCTGTTCACATGGCCTCTCCCGCGGCCCGCCGCAAGTGTACCGCCCGCCATTGTGTCGAAGTTCTCACAATCAACGAGATATTCCGTTGAGAACAGGCCGTCAGTTAAACCCATGGGAACTTCAATCCCTCTCTGCGAACTCCAGAAGGAATTCCCCCTGGAGTTTGTTTTGACAATGGCGCCAAGTTGGCGGTGTCTCTGCCAAACAGCAGTATTTTCTACCGCCATATTCGCAATGATTCTAAGCGGCAACTCGGCCTCACCATCGCGCGAGAGTGTGCCTTGCAGATTTTCTCCTCACTGTCGATAGTTGAACTGCACCTGCCGTGCATGCTGCCGCGCTCGCGCCGTTGAACCTCCCCTTGTAGATGGTTGCTATGGTCCGTGCAAACCTGTTCCGAAAAGAAGTCGGCCCGAGGGAACGGGGCAATACGACATCTGGTAGAGGAGGAAGAGGAGGAGGGGGAGTCCTGGCCTGGAAGAGGCCTAACGTTAACAACTGCAGTCAAGAACAACTCCCGGTGAAGGTGGAGGCGTACACGCGAACGCTCGTTCGTCGTTGCTTAGCGATGTACGGCCGCTCGGGATCTGATGTCGGCGTGGCGGTTCTCCTTGCCCAGGCCTTCGAGATCAACATTTCGGAAGAGGAGCGCTCAGGTTTGTCCTAACGAAGGGCTGTTGGAGCTCCTCTTGCGGGAGTAGGTGTAGGAGCGGTGCTCTCGGGAGAATGCGTTCAAGGTTTTTGCTGGAGTTCGCTCGCATGCGGAACAAGCTCGCTGCATTTTCCCCGTGCCGGACGTTCGGGAAACAGCAAACAGCGATAGGTCACGCTACCTCGACTGCTGATGGGTTGCTCTCGCCGTGCACTAACAAGAAGCCGCCTCCCGGGCCCGCGACGCCTTGACATGGTGGTGCGGTAGCTCTGGGCCATGCTGTACCGCGAAGCTGTCACCACTCCGCTGTACGTTTTTTTCTTCTTTTTGTGGTTTCAGACGGGGTGCACCTGAATCTGGTGTCGTACGTGTTCGGCGTTCTTTTTTTCTGGGCGCCTGTCTACACGTTTCGTTCTGTTTTCGGTGTGCCAGCCGGGGTCACAGAAAAGGCTGATGCAGGCCACGCGCAAAGAGATTTTTTTTCATAAACTCGAAGATTGTTCTTTTTCCTTTCGACCATCGCGTGTCCCTCCCGCTCAGGCCTTCGAGTACTGTTTCGGGTGCTCAGCACCCGGCTGGGGGCGTTCGTTCTCACGGGGAGGGCGGTGCCTTTTCAGTCCCAGAGCCTCGCTGCGCGACATGGCGTGCTGAAGAGGTGGTCCGTGTCGCGAATACGTCCGTTGCGTGATGCTTTCCAAGTGAGAACGTGGTCTGGTATTCTTCGTGGAGTTGGTATGGATACATTGTGGGTGCGTTATCAACAGCTGGGCTTTTGGCCACCACGGTGTCCGAGAGAGGACTAGATCGCGGCCGATATATGTCTGTGTGTCAGGTAATTCTTCGGTTTGCCTTTCGTAAGGAGGCATTGTCCGTGACTGAACCCTTAACCCCTATCTATTGTGAGCTGTGCTGAGAATGGAAGCGCGTGGAGGATCGTCCGGAAATCTCTCGACTCATGTGTGAGGCAGTGACTGATGAATGGGCTGCTTTCCAGTAAATCGCGGCCAGGGATTTTCGAGAGAGCATTTCGACAACGACCATCTCAAATATTTCGGGGACACCAGTATGCCCTTACTTTTCTCTTTCGCTCAGGGAGTCAAGCGGCTCACGTGCTCTCTGTTCTTCAGCGCACATCCGGAGGTGCACCATAAACCCTCTCACCCGGAGGGATCGGGGGCGGAGTCGACAGCGGCGCTAGCCAAGATCAAGACAAACCCTAACTGGATCGACATCCGGTACGACCCGCAACACCACCGTTTCGCTCGGGACGAGACCCCTGCAGTATCGTCGGCGGGGCAACGCCCCGATCCGATTGCCGCAGCTGCCGTGAGGCCCGGACTGTGGTCAGGAGCAAAGGTGCGGCAGCGTAGTTTGGTCGCTTACGGGCACAAGTGTCACCCTCAGGCAGCGTGTGCCGGAGACTCGCACCAAGAAGAATATGACATGAATCCGATTTCTTGCGTTTGCGAGGAGGCGCCGCTTGCTCGCTGCTTGGTGTCTACGTGGAACATGACCCTGTCCTTTCCTCCTCTACTTGCCTCCGCTTTGCTACATTGTTTTATCCGCTTTGCGCGACCAGGTGAAGGACAGGGTCTCCCAGACGGCGAGGGCGGCGGCAGCAGTGGCGTCCACGGCTCCTCGTCCATCGACGTCATTATCAGCGAACAGCCATAGCAACCCTCCATCTCCCGCGTCATCCCTACCACCTTCATTCTCGGCAACGGCAGCGGCGGCACCACCATCACGGGTGCCAGCGCCCGAAGACGTTCCCCCCAAGTTTTTCTCCCGCCCCCGAAGCAAGAGCAGCGGCAGCGCGGCCGCCACAGCCGGTGCCTTCTTGCCCTCGTCTGGCACCACCAGCGGCAGCGCAAGTGCTGCTCCGACATCACCACATGAAACCCTGCCGCAGCAGCTCACGGTTGACGTTGTGGTCGTCGGGTCGGGGGCGGGCGGTGGGTGCGCGGCTGGCGCACTGGCCGCACGAGGCTTGAGGGTGGCGGTGTTGGAGAAAGGGGGACTCTACGGCGCACACGACTTTGCCAGGTTTTCCGAAATGGAGGCGTACAAGGACATGTATGAGGGTCAGGTGAGGGGTTTGTTGGCTGCAGCATGAAACGTTAACCTTTGTGTTGTGTGTGTTCTTCATGTTTAGCGAAGTGCGCTTGTGGGTTTTACCCTTTCGCAGTGCAAAGGAGAGGAAGAGTTTGGTGCGTCGGCGGGTTTGGTGCAATCGGAGCTCGTCGGCAGTTTCTGCCGCTCGGCCAAACGACTTTTTTGGATGACCGCCCACGATGGGTTCCTGAATTTTACTTGTCGTGTCCAGAGCCGTGTCGCAGCCTGTTTTTTTGCGGCGAGGTCGTTCAACATTGCGCCGATGGTTGCAGGGACGACTGCATGCAGGAGCTGTGCTGCCTAGGTTGGCTGTGTCGAAGTGGCAAACACCGGCAACAACGACGAGATGACGACGACAACGACAATGGAAACAGCAATCGCGTGATGTATGTGCGTACATGAATTCATGTTTTTACGGTAAACCTCAACAGGGTGTATTGGCAACAGAAGGCGGAGCTGTGGTCATTCTTGCAGGATCCTGCGTCGGAGGGGGCACGACAGTGAACTGGGCGGCCAGCTTCCGCACCCCTAGGTACTATTTCGGGTGTTGTGCTCGGAAAGCGTCCCATAATTATCTTTTCGGGGAATTGAAACTGCTGCTATGTCGCTGCTCTCCGGTAACGCTGTCACGGAATGATGCTGTATGTAATGGGTTTCCGAAAGAATCAGCGAGGATCTGTCATGTTGCCTTTTCGTTGGGTCGGCGCTATCTCCCGTGGTGGCGCGAGAACTCGTGCATCCCCAAAGGGTAGGTGTTGCCATCGCACTTGCGTGTGTTTGGTTCTGGAGCACTACAAGAAAGGCCGGGAGGCGGAAGGGTGGATGACGCCGGCAAGCTCAAATACGCCGCGGCATCAAAGTTGGTTTTGTGTCCAAGTTTTGATGTTTCTGGGGGGTCAACTCTTGTTCGGCGCGTTGCTCCTGACCGCACCGACCGAATTGTTTTTGTTTCCAGCAGTCGGTACATGGCGTCCTTTCAGGCCCAAAAGAATACACTTGGAGCGGTGGCCGTCTATCGGGGTAGTCACCTCGCGCTGTACGTAATAATTCTTCGAAGGGGGCTGTTGGGTTGCTGGTTGTTGCTACATCACATCGTGGAAGTACAGCAGCGGTTCGTTCCCGGCTACAGCCGTGCCCCCTTCTGATGCCCCAAACGCGCCGTTGGTCAATGGTGGTCAAAATAACCCTATGATAGTTTTGCAGGGCTGAGAAATTGTCGGATGGGTGACACGTGGCGGGTGGAGCAATGGTTGTCTCTATGTCGCGTCACGCGTGGAACTTGCGGTGCATGTCTCAACAACAGGCACGTGAGACTAGAGTGGTCCCGGAAGCTGGGCTTGAAGAGCTTCGAACCAGGTGGACCCTTCGATGACGCCCTGGATGCCGTGTGCTCGAGACTGGGGGTGAGCCAATCGACGTAATGTTCGGTAGCTTGGGCACCTTGACCAGAACGAGGAATCCTTGGTTCTTCCTGTGCAATGGCCATCGCTCTCTAAGAGGTGTATTTTCGCGACTCGCCGGGGCGTTTGGGCGGCCTGGTTAGGCGTAGATCGGGGAGCTGGGTGCTTGTAGTGTACCAGGTGATAGATATCGTGCGAAAGCGTTACCTCGCGGGATCAAGTTTCAACACTTCGGAGGTATTTTCCCGCTTGCAGAGCTTCTTTATCCACGTGCACGAGTGCGAGATGTTTTTTTTTGTCCACCACTCTCATCTTGGGGGAGGGTTTCGGTATCGTTCCGGATACCACTCACAGAAATCACGCGTGCCCATTTTCGACCCAGCCCACCCCGCGCGGTTTCGTCCCAAGCTGGACTTGTGAAAGTGACACCAATACACCTCGTGACCCGCCGTTTGATGCCCCCCCGCTCCCACAGGTCAACATCGGGAATTCGCACCGGGCCCCGGGTTTTCCAGTGCCAAACGCCTCCTTGAGGGTAAATCAGCACCAGTCTAGCCTCTGGAACGGCGCCGCCGCGTCCGGTCGCGTGCCGAGGGCGGTTCCCACCAACACAAAAGACTGCGTCGACTGCGGAAGCTGCTTGCACGGCTGTGCGTACGGCAGCAAGCAATCAACACACGTGAGAGGGAGAGCGAGAGAGAACGAGAGAGAGAGAGAGCTGAAATCGCGGGGAAGGAGTAACATACTGGGAAACTGCTTGCGAAGGGTACTGCCATGTGCATCCGCGAGTGTCTGGCGGCTTGCGGCCCGTTGTTCTTGGGAAGTGGTGCCGGTTATTTTCGGGCTCGATTACAAAGCCGGAAATCGATCACTTCGGCGCGGCTTGGAGTTGGGGGCGTGGAGATTTGCTGGCTCCAGGCGCCGACCAGACCCCTGAACAGCTGCTAGTTACCCCCCACCCCCCCCGACGTTTTTTTTTGCTATTTTTCCGCTTGCCTCTCGCGTGTTAATCAAGGTTACGTGGCTGCAAGATGGACTGGACTCCGGCAATATCATCCTCGTGCCCCACGCCAAGGCAAGCGCAGACGACCTACCGTGTGTGTATCGATTGCAAAAATAGGCACCGCTGTGCACAGTCCTCACGACCTTAGGAAGTGCCACGGGTACCTAGCGTTTTCACGCCCCCCGTGGGTCCCAGCGAGTCGAAACTTCGTGTGATTATGGCCAGGGAATGCAGAGTAGCGCCAAGCGTGTCGTTTGACCGCTTAAGATCTGAAAACAATCACTATGTGGCAATCCATGGCATAGCAGGTTGAACGAGTGCTCATGGATGCTGGCAGGGCTACCGGAGTCGAGGCCGTAGTCTCTCCACATGGAGGTGGAATGGTAAGGCATCCGCACCGTCGCTTAGTTTTTGTCAATGTTTCACCATAAGTGTACGCCTTTCGTGCTGCGGAACTGTTGGCTGAAAGTAGGATCGCTCTTGCGGTTGCAAGTTTCGTCAGTCCGCACCTCACAATGGGGGCAGTTGTTGCAACCCTGAAGTCTAGGCTGTCAGGAAAACGAAGGGTTTGGGCCGTTTCGAACTGTCTCGTGGTCTCTATCAAGATCGACGCACCTGCTCCGCCTGTTGCGAATTCGTAATTCCTCGTGCCGGACACGTCTTTGGCGTTGCCTGTCGGTTGCCTGTTGGCGTCTGTGACCCGGTCTTCGGAATTGTCATATCAAAATAACGTTTCGTTCCACGTAGAAGGCCATCTGTTTAGCGTCTTGATGGGGGTTGTGAATGATGACGTGCCGCGTGCAACTGGTCCTAAGAAAATCCTTCCGTAGACTAGCGTCCGAGTTGAACCCGAACGGGGCCCTTGTAAGTCTGATTGATCACCCACGTTTAACCGTCCCTGCACCCACATCCGTCTGTAGGCTGCCTCCCTGACGGTCCGGGCGCGGGCGGTGGTCGTCTCAGGCGGCGCAATCAACACTCCGGCTATCCTTCTCCGCTCCGGCCTTAAGCACCCTATGATAGGCCGCCACCTCTGTTTGCATCCCGTGCTCGCCGTCGGAGGCGTTTTTCCTGAGGACTACGACGGCGAGCATGGGGCCGGGGAGGACGACCCGAAACGTTCCACGGGCGGTTCGATGGCGGCAGCGGCGGGTACCGCGGGAAAGCAGGCGCGGTTCACTGGCTTGTTTTTGTTGCAATTTTGGTGTATGTACGTCAACGAGTGCTGCTGTAGATTCTTCGGGCGCCGCAACTCTTCTTGAACCAGATCAGAACTCAAACCTGGCTACCCCCACCCAAACAGAAAGTGTGCGTATTGTCCTCCCGGACAAGGCTTCCGCTTGGTGATGATGCGAAAGCGGCACCGCCGATCTTGTCGGAGCAGTTATGTATGGGTTTTCTGTTTTTCGGTCCTTTTAGACCGGATCCTAGATTGGTGCATTGGCTACGTGCTAGGTTGGTGCTTCTTGCGCGGTTAGGACACAAGCAGTGTTCTGCCATGAAGATCACCGACGCCGCCAAAGTGGTAACCACTGCCAATGTTTTATTCGACGGGTTTTTTCGTCTGCACGCTTGTGCGGAGACAGGTTTACGATTCCTTTGGTGCCCTTGGTCTTTTCTGTAGGTCGTTCTGCAGACCTCGAGATTCTTTTCTTCAGGTCTCGATGATTCGCAATCTACCTCTCATCATGCGTAATATTTGTGGAAGAACGTATAGACGTGCAATGTAGATAGATGGTCACACAACAGTGGGCATTCAGTTGGTAACCTCGCAACCTTCTGACCTTCGGGACGTGGGTTCGAATCGCGGTGCAATCACACGAACTGGGATTTATTCTCACAACACGCCCAATAAACAACGTGGAAAGGAATAATTGGTTTTCACGGAAAAAACTGCTTCACCGCCTACATGGGAAAGGAACGGCTGAATCCTTCTCGCGATCGAAATCAAGGCGAGCACCGCAACAGGAACGCGGAGAATACAACCAGTAACACGTTTATGTGGCCCTCCTTCCTGTGTGACCCCGGCTGGTTCGTCCAGAATTGTACCGAAAGTGTCGCGATCGATGCCCGGAATAGATCCGATAACCACAAAACAAATGCGTGCACAACATGTGCGCAACATATACGCAATGTGCTCATGGCTTAACCGTTTATAACTGGGTTTGGTGAGAGTCTGCATAGCACGCACACGACTCATACACGCCGTGCGACGTTTCTTTCCCCCAAGTTTTCACCGTGCTTTACCGCATCTCACCCGCATTGGCCTGCTTGCCGGCGGGGCGTTTCAGGCGAAATCCAAGGCGTCTGCGAGCGCGAAACAGAAGCTGGAAGCGGAGGTGGGATCAGGCGAGGGGACGAATGGCTCGTGTCCCCGGGTGCCTGGGGTGGGGCGGGGGGTGATGATGGGCGTGTACGTACAGGACTTGATGCGGCTCGATGGAGGTGAGGTTCGTGCACAGAGGACGTTCCGAAAGGCCAAAGGGCTACAACGTGAAGGCAACGCAATCGGGGGACAGGCAGGGCGTGGTAGCGCAACACTGAGAACCAACGTCAAAACCTTTGACGTGATACACCAGGGTTATGTTGGGTTGACTGAGGCCGGCGGCGTGTTTCGCTGTCTGCCAAGAAGCAGCTCTTTTCCTTTCCCAAGAAAAGATCAACCCGAAACGGCGTCACCAATAGCCAAACCAACATGTATTTTCTAATCCTAGCCCGTGGATACTACATGCACATGAACGCCCCCACGATCAGGTCGTACCTTTCGTAAGGTGCTGCAGCTAGGAATTGAGTGCGGGTTTCTCTTTTCGTAGACAGGGCGTAGGGGCGGTTCTACTATCGAGGCGTTTCTTTTAGGGCACTGGGTCAGTGTCTATCTTAAGAATGATAAGTAGCGGTATCCCACGACAAGGGCTGCTGCTGAAGGCAGTGCCGCCTCCACGTTAGTCATGGACTGGCTCCTATACACTCGCCCCCGTTTTTGTTCGCAGGTTACGGCTGCGTCATCGAAGCGCCGCCATCTCACCCGGGTCTCATGGGGCTTGTGATGCCGTGGAACGATGCACTCACCCACAGGTGGAAATTTTGCTACTTGATAGGTTTCGTCCCGTACATTTTGGGCCGCGTCGTACCATCGTGTTTGCCGCCGGTACATCACGTCTCACAAAGCCTGTTGTAGGTTTGCGTGGGACGCCCACCCACCACCGTTGCTTCGAGAGCTTGCCTGTCGAACTGCCGAAACTGGTGCTGTGCTTGGCGTGGTGCGCTCTCTTCGCCGCAGCAGCCTGCCGAGGTCCGTCGACTATCGCCCCCACACACCGAACGTACGCCCTCTCCTGCTTCCGGTGTTGCTCCCTTCTGTCCTGAAATGCCGGGGTATCCTACCATCCAACCGTCTCTACCTGACTCTCGGCTTGCTCGTTTATCGCAGGAGGCCCTGCTGTATCTTCTACTTCCGTATTTATCACTCGCTCGCTTCATGGCTTGCCGTTTCGCCGTCGCTGTCGCCTGCTTGGTTCCGTCGCCCTCGGTATCGTCGTCCCCATTTCGGGAGTTTCCAGTGGTTCAAGGGTTCCTCTCTTTTTGCAGCTGAACCCGACCTTGGCCTCCTTAGAACCCCCCCACCCTCCCCGCCGCCCTCCCCTGCCCCCACCTCTCTGCGATACCCTGAAACGAAAGGATGCTAGTGTCCATGGCACGGGAGACTAGCATTTTCATCTGTATTGGGAGAGACCGGTCTAGCAATGCTAATCGCGTTGTACTTGGACCACGGGGGGATCCCGTCGTCAAGTAAGTCGCTCAAGGCAGACATGCGTGTCGGACATGTGTATGTGTACGGGAGAAATTTGTGTGGACATCCAAGTGTTTCGGAAGACGTTTGTGCGGGCGACTTGTGTTGCGGAAAACGATTGTGTAGAAAGCACTATGCCGCGAGCTTTCGCCAGCAACTATGTTTTCTTCAATGCTTGCATATGATATCTACTGGCTCGCCACTCGTTGCTCGGTTGATCAGTTGTGTTCGCTGACATTTTATTTTGCGTCGCTATGTTTCTAAAGCATTTTTTTGTTGTCACCGCGTTGTTGATGTTGTTGATGTTGTTGTTGATGACGTTGTTCTTGTTGAATTTGGTGTGGCAGTCTACGGTGGTTCTGTTGCTGTATGTCTTCAGTTGAAAACCGTTCTGACGAATGCAGTGTGCCAGAAGGTAAGCGCTTTTATTTTTCTCTCTTTCAAGTTATCGCAACGAAGGGTACGCGTCAGTTTGCTCATCTCGGCTTATTGTGGTTGCATTGCAACACTTCGCGTATTTCAGGTACGCTCTTGGTGAGGAGGATAGCCAGGTCATCCTCCAGGGAAGATCAGAAATGGTGAGCTTGTCAGTGTTCAGATCACCGTGCAGAGCGTTTTTGCAATGTCAGCAGTTGACTGTGTGCGGTGCTTTGTGGACCAAGAATGGCGTGCTCACGGGTTCTCACCAGTAGCAGCGTGCACACACATTGGTTTCCCCTGTGGTGCTTGAGCCCCTCCAACTGCTCGTGGACATTCCAAATGCCATGTTGCACCGCTGAACCTAATACGCCTTCTCGTTTTTTCCGACGTCAGTCCGATCGGCTGCAACCGATTATGTTGTACTTGATGCCTTCAGCGGTCTCAGTTTCATTTGTTTCCCTTGTTTTCATCTTCGTTTGTTGAATAGCTCCGGATGATGCGGAAAGCGGGGGCATCCCTTCTGATACCGGCACATGAGGGAGCTCCGTGGTTTTGTCCCACAGGTGCGGTGACCCCTCACTTGCAACAATTCACTTGTGACGCCCACGGTCCCGACGTATGTTTGGCCCTTCTCAGGACTAGTCCAAGCATGCATGTTTATTTTTCGTGTTGGTTGGTGTGTAGATATAGCTCGCTTGCGTCGACAAACCAACACTCGAGCACAATACCACCCGCCATGAGATGTAAGCAAGTATAAGGGTTAACGTAGAAAGGAGTCCTTAATCGTCCGCGGGTAAAGGGCTTGGCGCCCCTGTTCGGTCGGGTACCCGACGTTTCCCGTACATTCTAGGGTCGCCCTCTTCTCAATTAGCTTCTTGCCGCAGTGTCCTTGGACATAATGTGGCCATGCACATGAACCCGTGAACCCCCTGACGACCCTCCCTCCCCCCATCGCAGTCGATGATATGGACATCATAAGCGCCGGCCGCCTGCCTGTGCCAATGCTTTGTTCTTGTTGTACTCTCTGTGCTGACTGGCCCTAGATGGGAAAGAGGGAGATGAAGACTTGGAGGGGTATGTTGAGGCCATGGAATCGCTCGGCACCACCCTGAACGAGGTGTGGACCGGGTCCTCGTTGGATTTTATCTTCTTTTTTTATCTGTGTCCCTTGTGCAACTGGCGCGATCTGTGCATGTTTCACGGTTCGTCACGCTGTGCCGTCCGGATACCAACCCTGGTGGGTAGGTTCTAATTGGTAGAAGCCGTTTTCGAACCTGTCTGTTGTGCCGTGGTATTGTGTCTTTGTGTGGTCGCGGAACGTTATTGTACGTTCTGCGGGAAGATTTCAGGTGCATCCAATAGAACCCAGAACAATTTCCAGTGTGCAGGACGACCACGACGAGAGCAGTGAGAACCAATCACGGCGCGCTCTCCCTCGTGTTGAACGTATGCGTTGGCATACAGGATTTCACAAATATTTGCATGACCCTTAGCGAGGGAAGGAAAGTGGTGTGGCCACTCGTGCAAAGGAACCCGTAACTCCGCGGACGCGTTTTTAATGGGAGATCAATCTGGTGCAGACATTTATTGGCACCAAAGAAGCTTTGGGAGCGAAATAGTGAATTTGACGTACATATTTATGCCTACTCGTTGGAACAATCAAATTGATCTGATGTCGGCATTGGCACAAAATGATGCAAGAAGTCGGCTCAAAGGAAGTCGAACACATATCTGCTCGCAATTACACGTGAAGTAGTTGACCTGATGATGGCCAAAACGATGGCAGTACAGCGAAGTGCCTGTGCTCTATCGTGCGTCCCTGGAAATGCCTTACTTCGGGAAATGCGGGCCTCTCAGCAAGACGCAAATCCACTGTTTACCAAGGTGTCGACGTTTGCACCCACAGGCTGGCTTGTACTCAGCTCACCAAATGGGCTCGTGCCGCCTTAGTGCCAACCCGGAAGACGGGCCTCTGAGGGAGTCCGGCGAGTCGTGGGAGTGCGACGGGCTGTTCGTGGCGGACGCTTCGGTTTTCCCGACGTCGCTCGGGATAAACCCTATGATCACGGTCGAGGCTGTGGCGTACATGATTGCTGATCAGGTAGACGTTGCGCCAGGGCTCGTGTGATTTGATCGGGGAATGTTTGTCAATGTTGCCGCCTTTTGTTTTTGTCTCATTCTTGCTGGTCGTTCGTTCTGACGCAATTGCACGAAGCGTCCGAATGCTGACAACGTTGGGGGCGCCAGTGGAGTTGGGTGGTGTTCTTGCGGTTCGTGCTGCTGCGTTGAGCGGTTGAGTTGCCAGCGTGGAGCGACTATTCCTTTCGTTTCGGTCGCTGGGTCGTAGGTCTCTGTTGCATCTCTCACCCCGCCTGGATAATTGGCCAACTCGAAGCTGAGACGTTCCTGGAGTGGCGCTGTGTCTGCCATCGTTGCGGAACCGCCATCCGCGGTTTCCCGCGTGTCTTATGGGTACCCGCCTTATCGTGTCGCAGCACGGTAGTGCGGCTTTTGTGACAAACCTGAAAGTGGTGCGTCTAAGGATGAGGGATTCGTTTCCCGCGTATGTGCGCAAGTCCACGCGCTGCGGCTTGTTGTCTGTCATGACCCCTTTCCTCCTCACCTTGGGTGCCTCTTTGGTGTTTTCGTGCGTCATCGCTACCAGGTTGCAACAAGGCTCGGCAAGGACTCAGAGGACTCGAAACCCCGCGGGGAGTCCTCGCCACTGAAGCGGAGAATCAAGACTTTCGGGAAGGCCATGGTGGCGGCCATTTCGCGAGAATCTAGCTCTACATCAGACGCGGACAACGCCGGATCCAGCCTAACCGCCCTTCGCAGGAGCAACAGCCGCGGAGGCAGCAACAGGAAACTTGTGCCTGAGGAAGGCGGGCGAGGAAGCGACCAGACTATCATTCGAGTGCCAGGCGGCGCGGCAGCGGCGGAGCGGTGTGTGTTGCCGCAGTCCACATTGGCGGTCAGCGCTGGGGGCGACGCCGCTGCGGGGATGGGGGACGACTTCGGAGTCGAGGTTACTGATCTTTACTGGTAGAGAGCTCGTAGCGCCAGCTAACCGTCTGATTTGTGTGTCGTTGATTGCTGTTCAAGACGTTTCCGACTTGGGAGGTCAATGTTGGTATTGATTGTGCAAGGCCGGGAGCCCAGCGTGGTTTCCATGTTTGTTTGCAGGCAGGACCTGAGTGACATTCGCGTTGACGTTTGCGTCACCTGATGGCGCGGATTGGTTGAATAGCTCATGTGTCTGCTGCAGAACGGGCCCGCGATAAACAAGTATTCTGTTGAGACATTAGGGTGAAACATCCACGAAGTTGAGCTCTGTACGTCGGGCCTTCCTTTATTGCTGCGTTCGGGGAGGGTATTGGGGGTTGGGTAAAGCGTTCCTTCTCAACGCAGACTAGTTGGCTTAGTAGCAGAGTCTTCTGAAGAAGGCAAGTCTGTTGATGACATTCCCATGTCGACGGTTTGAAGGGGCAAACATTGATTGTTTTCGCCACGTTTGCCACACATTCGGAAGGTTCCTGGCGAGTTTCGCTTCAGTTTGTTGTTCAAAGATGACAAACTTGTGCTACGTACTGACACGACGTTGGACATGGTAAATATTGGTCGAGAAGTGCAGACGCCGCCGACAGAAATGCGCCGAAGGCGATAGAATTCGGTGGAAATTTCCTTCCAAGCGCGTCCTCCCTGTCGGACCTAGAATTAGTGTAAGTAGCGAGTCCCGCGTTTTTTCTGGAAACAAGGTAGAAAAGCTTTCGTTGTCATGACTTCAGTTGTTCTGATTTTGGCGCATTTCGTGGCTTGTCGGCATTTTCGATGAGAGAAATTCGCTTCAAGCAACGTAGGAGAGAACCAAAAAGGTAAGGCAACAGGTGTGGCCTCCCATGGCTGTTGGGTGAGTTACTATTCAGGAACTCTTCATTCATATAATGCGTTTTTGAAGGGTTTTTGAAGGCCTCCCTAACACGTAACTCTACCGGAAAGCCCCGAAGATGCATCGAACTTTGGGAGCGTAGAGATCTCGCCGACGTCGCAAACTCTTTGGCAGCTGCCGGCACTTTCCGTCAACGTGGCGCGAGCTTCTTGGTGCCATTGATGTGTATAGGACATCATGCTATACGTCGCTTTTTACTGTGCATGTGCCCACCAATTGCCTGATACCTCTACTATTACGCACAAACATCCCAACAGGCAAAACATACAACAGCGATAACATCTGCGATTCCCTTCGACGTCTACCACTCTCACGCTCCAAGCGCCGCACTCTATTTCGCAAGTCTAGTGATAATTCCATGGCATGACCATGATTCACTTCTAGTCTACACCATCGAAACGCTCTATCTGCTACCCAGCAAGGCCCGAGTCTCCTGCCTGCAGCCAATACGTTCCCAATACAGGCGACAGCCTGTAAATACGAGGTATCCCAAAAAAGGACTTGAAACGCAACTCAGCCCGAAAACGGGGCAGGCGCCATTGCATTACAGTTTTCCCGTACGTCGCGTTTGCGCGGAACGCAACGCTACATGCTACTATGGCCAGCACGGCCGACAGCACATTGCCCCGAGCTCGCCTCGCTTCCCATGCTCGCAAAAATACTTCGTAGACAAAAGAAGGCGCACAACGGGCTGCCTCCGAAGATCACTTGGTGCGTTACGTGAAGTTACCATGCCATGCCACGCCATGCCATGCCACGCCATGCCATGCCAACCAGAGCTACTTCTTCGTCGCGGCGAATTTCTTCGGAATGTGGGCTTCCGTGTGCGACATGGTGTCGCCCCCCTTGCAGATGTCTTCCCGAACGTGCATCTTGTCTCCTTCATCGCACACGCGGAACTCGCGTTTCATCGAAATGCCCTGGGAATTCGTTGAAAATAGTGGTTGAGCCCAAAAAGAAAGGGGGGCGGAGGAGACTGGGTTGGTGGTGAAATATCCGCACAAGGCAACGCGAACAAGTCACGAACGTTAGCCACAGGATTCGGATACGTGCCATTCACGGCGATGGAAGCTATAGAACGCCTGCTAGGCCCGGTGCGTATCTACGACCTGGTGGACAGAGGCATCGGTCGCGGCCAATAGGAAGTGAAAGAGATTCGAATTGAGAAAATTTCTTGCAAAATGCTACCCCTGTGGTGGGTATCAAGTATCAAGGAGTTGAACGAGTGCTGGCAGCGAAAGGGAAAACCTTCACCTCGGGCTGGCATACTGTTCCTCATCCAAGTCTACGTCGAGAAATCCAGCGTATGGGTCCATTCCAGTAGGAGATGGGGGGGGTCTAACGCACCTTCGGCCATGATCAATGATCGGCATTGGGCTACCAGATCAGACTGAGTGCATCAACCCTTAAGCAAAACTCACGCCTGGGCGGTGATCAACAGAGCGAATGCCGGAGAGAAAACGCCCGACCTTCACAGATGAAAACAATATGGTAGTCGGCAATCTGTTACTAACGTTGAGAAAAAGTGGCGCGCGTTTGCGCAACATGCGGGGCGCACAAAGGAACAGCTACTTGATCAATACGCACAACATCTGCTTCACCACAGAACTGCAAGCGGGAGGGGGGGCGGGTGAATCTGTGGGGTAGAGGTTCAAACAAACAGATGGTTTCGCCAATGTCGACACCATACAACGCACCGTATCTTGGAAGGAGAAACCGCATCTAGCAAACTAAAAAATGATCAACGTCGCTCAATTCCTATCCCTATTTCCTTCGTGTGCCGATGTGGCCAACACCTATTTCGAAGGAAAACCATCGCATCAAATCAGTACAAGTCGATCTACATATCACCCTCCATAGTATCGCGCCACCAGCGAACGGGAGAGGGTACAGCGGGCATGGGTTGAGAAATGGGCGTGGGATACTCACCAGCTCGCAAGACCTCTCGGAGATGGTCTTCATGAGGATGTGCCCGTGAGAGTCTCCCTCCTCCGGAGCGGGGGGACAGTTCAGCATCACTCTGCTCGGCAGCAAAGGAGTGGGCGGGGGTCGACAGAGGGCCGACGGATCAGAGACTCTGATGAAGTTGGCGCATGAGTGCACCCCTCGGCGCCCCCCCCCGGGCCAGTAAATGCTTGAGTTGCACAACGACACATCTCCGCCTGATCTACCGCTCGGTAGGTACAGAAGGAGGGCGAATATTGAGCAGTATTCCAATTTCGCTTGTCTTGTGGGCACCTGTGGTTGTCGATAGTTAGACGCCCCTGGTGCCTAGGCTGCCCTTCTCCGTGCACTTCCCGCACCACCTGCAACATCACGCGAACCCGGGACAACCGCCGTGATCGGTCATAGGGTTCGAAACAACACACACGCCGCGCCAGATACGTTTCTCTCTGCACTCTGCACCGGCACTTCTAAGCACGATGTTGATGAGGAGGTTGGCATAGACCACATTTAGTTGGGGGGCTGCACCAGTCCAATCTGTGAGAAGGATGGTCAAGGAACCTCATTTTTCTTCTTGCCGGGTGTGAACGAGACAAGGAGGAGAGAGAGAGCACCAGCAGAAACCAACAAGAGAGGACGCACGCCCCGTCATAGTGGTAGCTGATCACAGACCGTATGTATGACGATAGACGCGTTCTGTGTTTCGTGTCCAGACAGGACTGACCTTCCTCTCTCTGCGCCTGGTTATTATTTTCTCGCCCAAAACGCCAGCAGCAACAGACAGATACGAAGAATCAAACACGCGTGCTTGCTTGGGATGCAGAGACGGCTCCACACCTCACTTCTCACACGCAGAGCAACTCCCCCCAGATGTAGGTCTGGCCTTCGTTGGCCGGCTTTGGAGTCCCCACGGCAGCACCTTCCGTGTTGCCCGGTTTTGATTACGTCAGGCTATTCTACTACTGCTGCTGTTGTGGTAGGTATTTGCTTGCTCCTCCTTGAAATCCATTTCTTCTCCTGAAAGCGCAAGAGATCCAGGAAAAAGCGGCGTCTGAATATTTGAAAGCTGCTTTCCATTTACTTTCCATGTTCTCCCGCTCTGAGGAATGTTCCCAGAACTGGATTCCTTGACCCTGTTGTATTATCTAGAAGTTCTTGGCTAAAATTGTTTGGTTTCCAAGCCAAGATTTGCTCGCGACATGTGTCCGCGAAGATAATTTGTTTCGCAGATAATGGGAAATGTCTAGAATGTTGTGGAATGTTGACAGCGCGGCGTGTTGTTCGTCTCGTCTTCTTGAAGTTGACAAAAAGGCGCAACCGCCACCTGGTCCACTGAAAATGCCACGGTGCGATGAAAACTGAGCTTGTCGCAGTCGTACAAGTTATCGTCCCTCCCACTACAGTATCATCTCAACCCTACGGGTTGATACTAGCGGTGGGCGTCCGCCTGGGGTGCGAAATAAAAGACGTTGCCCACGACCTCATGCAGGCGGAGAAACAAAATGGTTCCAATGCTGTCCATCAGAACATCAACCGCAGAGCCGTTGGCAACCGTGCACGTATCTCACAAAGTAGGCGTGCCGAGGTCAAACCTTTGGCGCTGTCCTCTGCACTCACCGATCTGCTTCAGGTGCAACCGGAGTGGCTGTGGGGTGATTCGGTCAAGAGATAAAAGCGTCGGACACTACTGAGCTGTGCTGGAAAAATCTACTTAGAATATACCAGAGAACTCTTTGAACGGTCTCTCAACAGTTAAGTAACAGTTTGTGTCGCCAGCGATGCCTTTATTTCTGGATAATAGCATCCCACGACCGTCCACTTGCATCCGACGAGAAACGTTAGTGGAGGTGGCAGCATCAGCATCGAAGATCTGGCTTCGGTGCTTAAACTACGGAGCGAGAAACAAACGTGAACGGGGGTTGTCCGCTCCCAACGTTGGACATGTGTTCTCTCTGTTGATGACGCACGTGGAACAAGCCAGGGCCAACATGTATTTTTCGCGCGCCATGACCGGTTTTCTCCGCTGTCGGCGCCCGTGGCGTCGATCCAGCAGTGCAGGCACGGTGCGTTGGAGACCCTTGAGAATGTGCCACGGGAAAATTCCACAGCATTCTGGGCGATACGGTTGACTGACCTATGGTCATCTCGTCGCACCGGACGGGTCGCCCCGGTGGTGTAGTGGCAACCTTGAAATCGCTTGTCGCAAAGTTTGTGAGTTCGAATCCCCACGGTGTGAAAAAATTACAAAATTTGCGGGTGAAAGCGAAAGATAGCTGAAAATAAAGCTGTCGTGAGTACCAAACTTCGACGTTAGCACGGTCGATGAGGGGAAGGGGCATCTGGACCCTCCTCGCGAGAAAAATAAAAGTCAGCACACACCTCAGGAGGAAGGTGGGGCACGAAAGTAAATAACAAGAAGAAAAAAAACCTTGTGTTTACCTCCTCCTGTGTGACCCTGGATGGTTGTAGTTGTACGAAAAAATGAACTGAAAAGTGTAGTACTCCACATACACTGAGAGGTGTAGTACACGTCTCACCACGAAAAATGGGGGGACTGTCGCCATAAAACTAGGACGAAAACACAAACACATACACCCACCAAGATTTGTCAACCCGCTCCAAGATCTGCCAAAAATGTTGAATTTTGACAAATCTTGGGGTCAAGATCTATTCCAAAGGGCAATCGGACCCTGTCAAAATTTATTATTCAAATCTTTTTATTGCGACCATAAAACGTGAAAGATGTGGTGATATCGAGGGTCGTACGATAGTCATAGTGGTACCGTATACAATCTATACAATCTCCGCAAATAACGTACACCGACACCCACTGTCTGCTTGTGCTCGCCGCATAGCTGATGCCACTATTTAAATAGCTACAACCTCGGTTTGGTCCTTGGCGGTGAGCACGTATGTGACAAAGTTGGATTCTGCTTGGTGTCGGCGCAGATTTCGGACTCTGCTTTCGGATGCTGCTGCGACCTTCGATATTTCAGCTCCAGTTGCAAACCTGAACGTGCCAGGACGCACGACGCTTCTTCATGGTTTCCTCTACACATGACAGTCGAAGTAGAAGCCCGCAGATCAATACGGCGTGAAGGTTGTTTTCTTTCTTTGTCTTCGGTTAAGTATAAAAATAAAGCCAGCGAAAAAATGCCTTCATCTCACCTCTTGCGCATGAACCGCGAGGTATTCGCAGACAGCGTTGAAATCGTTGAGGTGATCGCAGTCCACCAGCGTCATCAGCGCTGCAGATGGGCTGTTCAAAAGCTCACCCATGTCAGAGTGTGCTCTCTCCCTCTTCTCGCCGTGGACGACATCCGCAACGGGTGCAGCTGCGACCGCCGTGTCTCCCATTTGACAGATGCTCCCCTCGGGCAAGAAAAAGAGCTGTAAGAGTAGACGTCTAGGGTCAGCACAATTCGAGGCTCTAGCGGAGTTTAATCGGGAACAAGAAAAGGCGCGAAAGATGGCGGGAGTGGATGGAACGTTGTTAGAGGTGGTGGTATTTTGAAAGTCAAAGAAACGAGAGTGAGAGCCGCTCATGCGCGCGCCGACTCAACTGCAAGTTGAGGTTTGACACCAGCACGAGAGAGCGGTCGGAGACGGCTATTTTTCCTCTTGTTGCCTTTTTCTGGACAGCGGGCTCATTCTACAGTACAGTACATGGACAATAACCTGCATGAGTGTGCTCGTGGCTCAAGCCATCTGTGGATGGTCCCTAGCGGCGTAGATTCAGCACCCAAGATCATCTGGCACATGCAAAGCACAAAATAGCCCGGAGGATAACATCCAAGGGCAACGGCTCTAAGCATGTCGTGACACTGCTGTAGCTCTGCCGTAGTTCAAAGCTCCTATCTACACCCTAACCGTCACCTACACTGTCGGACGAGCCTTACCTTGGTATGCAGCTCGTGGGTTGGGGTTGAGGCTGTGGAGCCTGTTGGGGAGCGCGTGAGAAGTGGCAAAGTGTGCGAGAGAAGGGCAACTCCAAAAACCGAGCGGGCAACTAAAAAGCTGGCAGGGCAAGGCAGGGCGAATTTTTTTTTCGATCGATTTCATTGGTGCTCAAGTGACAGTGCGGTTCATGGAGAAGGGCGCGAACTGCAAACAAGAGGCACGCTGTTCAATCTACTGCTGTTCATACGGAGAGACAGAACTCCGGCACCCGCATGAAAAGAGATTATCAGCAAAGGAGGAGCATTCATGCAAGCCATGAGGAAGGGAGGAGACTAAGCTGAGAGATGGTCAGGACGTCTTGGTGCGTGTTCCAGACTGCCACTCTTCCTGCAGATACCTACACTACATTGTCGCCAACGGCTCCTATATTGAGCTGTTCGTAGTGTGTCTGGTACTTTTGTGCCCCCCGTCTCACCGTACACTCACCTCACATCACACGTGGAGGTGCGTTTGGAACGATCCTGCACGTGTATCACAACCAGCTTGGCCCATGATGCCTGGGAGCACACAAAAACCTGTTTATCGGTGCCAATGACACCAACGTTCCACACTCTGCAGACTTGTGTGCCAATGAACAGTGGCACCAACGTTCCACACTCTGCGAAGACTAGTCGATGCTGTACACACCTCCTCCCGTCCGTGACACAGGAAAACCCTAACCCTAGGATATTTTCTAGCTAACCTGGGGTGACACAGGTGACTCTCGTGGACCTCCGTGGTTTCATGATTCCATGTCCGTGTTTCCACTCAACGGGGATCGTGGAAGCTTGTAATGTGTTAGATTCAGAGGTCCTGTTGGACGACGTTTTTATTGCTATTGTTTTATTGCCACAGAGATCACGAGCGTCAGCCAGAGGAACAAACCTGTACCCTCTACATGGGGCCTCCGGCGTAAAAACAAGAGGAACAAGAACCCCGTTGATCATGGGTGGATGCATGCTCGAAATAGGAACTTTGAATATAAGAACAGGTGCTGGGTTTGACGCAGCCGGTAAACATCGAGCCCCATGCAAAATATGCGGAAGCAAACTGTACAGCGCAGTGCTGTGGTAGTAGTAAGATGCAGCTGTAATATTGCTGTAGGCAATGATACGTAGATGCGGTGTGACAAAGTGACCCTTGGTAGAACTCAGTAGAACGTAACATGTACGGACGAGCTACAGCAAGGAGCTCGTGATGAATTGAAGTTAAGGGGGTGCAGAAGACGAACATTGATGTTGACAAGTTTTGAAATACAATACAAAAGCACCAGAAATTGCACAACAGACACACCGGACCAGTAGGAAAGCAGCGCGAAAAACAGAAATCGTTTATTCTCGCACAGGGCGGCGGTAGAAGCTGCTCAAAACATACGTTTCACGCATCTACTTCCACACGCCTCCTTTGAAATCAGGATAACATTCTAAATTCTAGTCAAAAGAACCAAAACGGAAGGCGTTCAAACAAGGTCAATTTTGAATGTTAGGTGTCGCATTCTATTGTCATCAGTAGAGGACATAATGAAGATGTGTCGTGCGTGCTGGCACGTTCAGGTTTGCTACTGGAGCTGACATATCGAAGGTCGCAGCAGCCTCTGAAAACAGTCCGAAATCTGCGCCGGAACCAAGCGGCATTTGTCACAGCCGTGCTCGCCGCCACTGACTCCAATCCACTGAACTGCGGGTTTACAGCAGTAACTGATGCCACTAGCTACAGCTGACAACCCGTGGTTCTGGGGTATACTGTCCGTGGCGGTGAGCACGGCTGTGACAAATGTTGCATGCCGCTTGGTTCCGGCGCAGATTTCGGACAGTTTTCAGAGGCCGCTGCGACTTTCGATATTTCAGCTCCAGCAGCAAACCTGAGCGTACCAGCACGCGCGACGCCTCTTCATGGTGTCCTCTCCTGGTGACAATAGAATGCAACACCTAACCCTGGCGGGGAGGTTGTTTTCTTTCTTTGTATAGGATAAAGCATGGGAAAAAGAGCCAGCGTTACAACCCCTTTTCTGCACCCCTTTAATCAGAAGACTGTAATTGTAGCGAGATCATGAGGTGGTGCGAACACCACCAGGCCCACTCCCAACTAACCCTCAACATCTCTGCTCTGCAAGTAAGCTGTAAAGTGAATTGAACTGACAAGGAGTGTAAGCCTTTTCGACTTCTGTCACAGCCCTTGGCAGACTTCGGTCGGAACAGACTTCCGTTCTGAACATGACACAGACTTTTATCTTAGACTACACAAAGGCTTAACTGGCTGCAGTCGACCCTTGGGTAAAGGGCACCTCGACACTATACATTTCTACATAGATGACATGCAGACTGGAGTGTGAAGAATCTACGAAATGGACGGGTGCGTTATTGTGGGGACATCGACTTCACAAGGACATCGCACGTTCAACGGAACAGTGACGACTGAAGACCGCCGACACAACAGCAGCAGAGGAGACAAGATAATACGGCGAGTGGCTACAGGAGAAGTAGGCCCTCCATGCATGCAATGTCCAGAAGGAGGGGGGGGGCACACATAATAGTAACCTTCAGGTATACGTAAGCTCCTGTCTGCGTGCCCTCCGCTGTTGCCGGTAGATCAATTTAGTCCGTATCCAAACACACGAACACCTTCCCCGGTTCTTCACGCGAGTGAATCACCATCAGTGGGGCATGGATACCGCAGATCTACCGAAGGGGCCCAAGCAACAATGGGTGCGGGGGAAAACCCGGCCATCCGGACCAAAAACTCTCGCCAACAAACCCAAAACATAGAAACCGTCGCTATCACGGAGGATTCCCAACGGTCGCACTTCCAAGGCAAGACCAAGGCAGGACAAATTGGACTTGTCACGCAGGTTACGCACCCGAAGCAACGCTCTACGCTCCAGCCTCGGGCGACGCGCGGGCCCAACGCTTCCTGCGTGACGTACCATGGTCATACATGCCCAGTGCAAAAAACAACCACAAAAACCCAAAACCAAACACTACATCGGTAGGTTCATCAGAGCCTTCCGGTGGTACTCCAATTTGGCCCTACCAAGGACCTTGGTCAGCATGTCGGCGTGCTGTTCCCCCGTCGGGACATACTCTGCGGTGATCTTGCCCGACATGAAGAGCTCGCGAATAAAATGGAACCGCCGAGCTCCTCGCCGGGCTGAAAGGGTTCTGCACCAAGGCAAGAGCCCCTCCGTTGTCCTCACGGACCCTGATCTTCGCCCCACGCATCTCGGGGCGCTATGAACGACAGAAACCCACGCACACACAACGCCTCCTTCATGCCCTCCCCGGCTGCAATATTCTCTGCCTCCGAGGTTGACTGAACTGTCACGGGCTGCGTCTTGGTCGCTGCGCAAACAACGGTACCGCCTACAGTTACGGCTAGCCCGGCCATCGAACGCCTGTCAATCTCATTGTCGGCGTAGCTGGAATCGACAAGCACGTCTAGGTCTAGCCCTGATCCTCGTACGTAGTTGATGCCGAAGTCCTTCGTGGCGTTGGGGTAGGACTTGATCCGCAAGAGCGCGTTCCACATCCTCTCGATGGGTGAGTGGGCGACCTTCTGGAGCTTGTGCAGGGGCAGGGCGATGTCTGGCCTCTTAAACATCGTCCACATGAGGCACCCGATTGCATCCCTCACCGGCTTGTCCACCGCGGGCCCATCATGTCTCTTACCCTAGGTCAGCAACGGCGACGGCGGCGGTGGGAGCGGTTGCAGTGACGTCAAACCGCTTCAGCATTTCGATGTATGCCGTCTGAGACAGCTTGGTAATTCCACTCTCAAGATCCATCTCGATGGCACACCAGTCAAACCACGTGCACTTTCCCATATCTTTCACAGGAAACCTGTTCTGGAGGGAGGCGAGCAACCCCTCTGGCTTCTCGGACGCCGTCAACATGATGTCTACGTTGATCACGATCAGACCTACGACCTCTCCGTCAACAATCTTACGGAAAACGCAAGGGTCAACCCTGCACTACTCGTGCCCGTTCTCGATGAGGGCATCGGCAGCCTGAATTCCCCACTAACGGCCACTCTGGTTCAGACCATAGAGGGCACGCTCTACCTTGAACACTTTTCCAGAAAAGCTACCTCCCGAATGGGGCGACGGGGGGACGCTACCTCCACTATCGTCCCCTTTGATCCCGTTGCCTGGTACCGCCGGCGCCTCTACCCGCACGGGCGGTGTCGTGTGCCCAGGCCCACGAGCCTCCGTCACATCGAGGTCGGACTCACTCCTTGAGTCGTTCTCCCCCCCTCCACCTTGACGTGACGCGCTCTACATGCCATCGTCCTCCCCGCCCTCCTCGTCATCTGCGAGAGGCAGCAGCTGCGGGGGAGCGGGCAAAGCAGCGGGCACGTGGTGCCCGGTGAAATTTCGGGTCGTGATCACGGTTCCAGCCTCGGTTAGTGCGCGGACGCAATGACGAGGATGATTGTGGGCGGGCCCAAAGTACCATTCTTTCTCTCCCTTGGGTTTCGACTTTGTCTTTCTTCTCGACTTCAACACGAGAGGTTTAAAGAACGGGTACGTAGACCCGATCAGCGGCGGAGTACCGTGAAACATCTCGTAGGGGGATTTGTGCCCAGGGTTTCTTGTAGTTGCGGTGCAGTTCAGCTGGTTGCATGCACAGGAAATGGCCTCAGCCCACAGTCCGGGGCTGGTTGGTGCGTCAGGGAACAGTTCTTTCGCTTGGATGCGTGATGCAAGCACGGCATTACTGATCACCCCCGACGTTCACTCCGCTAAACCATTGTACTTGGGGGTGTTGGGAGGTGTAAACCCTTGCTTGATACCTTGTCTGCGGCAAACCTCCGCAACCCGACCCTGGAACTCGCCGCCGCCGTCGGTGCGTGCGACAAACACCTCACACGTAATCCGCCAGGTACTGCTCAAACGCGACAGCTGCGTCAGATTTTTTCTTCAGAAAGAAGACACGTGTCCAGCGGTCTGATGATGAGTGTCTACCAGTTTCCACCAATGCTCCTGAATTGCATCTTTCCCCCCAAATCGAGAAATAGGCGAAACAGCTTCTTATCTGCGCGTGTGTCCGTGCTCTTCAAAGCGGGCTTCACCTGCCCCTTGGACATCGAACAGCTGAGGCAGGGTCCCAGCGGTCCTTCCGTCAGCTGCACTCCCTGCCGCTCCGCGGTTTCTCGCGGGCGTGGTCGTGCGAGTTGTGGTGCATTGAGGTCAGTGGGGGTGGTTACTTGCGCATCGCCAGGAACAATGATTGCGGCACAGGCGATGTCTACCGTAGGCTCTGTTTGATAGCCCTCTTGAGTGAGCACCTTGCCATTCCGAGCGAACCACACTTCCCCCCCGGCTCTAGTGGTTAGCGTAAGCCCCCGCTTCTGCCCTGAATACGTGTGGCCCTCTTCGGCCAACGTAGTAAGCGAGATGAGGTTGAAGGGGGACTCGAGCACATGAGCAGCATTCGGAATCGGCACGGGCACCCAACCACCTTCCGACCGGAGAACTACGGTCACGTCTCCGTATCCTAGAAAAGGGATGGGGGCCTTGTTGTCTCCGATCCCCTTTACCCAACCACTGCACTCACGGTAGTTCACGGAGGCGTTTGCAAATCGGAACGGAGCACTTGGCCGCTGTATCAGCCACGTTCTTCATGACATCCTGGCCATGTTCCGAGACCGACATTAACGGTACCACACTCGCCTGGAGAGTCTGCCATGGCACAGAATGCTTGGCTCTCGACGGAGACCACGTCGCTGTCGCAATACACGACTTGCGCCAGGACGGCCTCCGGCGTCGCGCACTTGTCCTTGATGTAGCCCAAACCCATCGCAGTGACCACACCTCGAGATGAAGTCGCTCTCCTTGGTGGTGCAGACGGCCATCTGGCCCCTTGTGGCCACACCTGAAGCACCGGCCAGGGAGTTTTGTTTCCCCATCACCGCTTCCGCCTACCCCCCCACTGCTGCTCCCTTTGCTCTCCTCGACTCCGTGGCTTCCCCCGCCGCTGCGGCCGCCGCCACCTCGACCGCCGCCCCGACCACCGCCACGGCCACGACCAGACGACCGCCCCCGACGGTCGCCGCCGTCGACGATGGAGACTTGCTCGGTGCCTTGCGCACCTTTGCTTTTCCCTTTCTCCAGCCTGTCCCGGATCGCCTTGAACTCTTTGGTATCCTCCTTCAAGAAATCGTCCCGCGTCAACGTCTCCTTGTGTCGCAGGGCGTGCTTTGTCATGGCAAACTCATCCGAAAGGGCATCCAAGAAAAGGTGGTGGACAAACGTTTCGTTGACTTGCAGATCTGTCTTGGAGAGGGATTCGGCTGTATCTAGCATCTTGTTCAACGCATGTTGCGGATTTTCAGCCACGGGGATCTTCGTTGAGGTAAGCGATTTTAGGTCGTCTGCCGGTTGCATGGACGATTCTGGGTCGTACATGCCTATAAACTCTCGGAGCGCTCCGTGGGGCGTCTCTGCCCTTTTCATGATTTTTCTGTCGCTTTCCTTTGTCAGTGCATGGGTCAGGAAGTTCCATGGATGAAATGCGAGCTCTACATGCTCGTGTTGGTATTGCTGGCACAGCAAAAATTCGCTTCTTCCGCTGTTTACTGTGATCTCCAAACCCCCGCTTTCTTCGTAGTGTTCCAACAGGTTAACTCCATTTGCCACCACACGGAAATCCTCAAGCCCTGAGGTGAAGTCCTTCGCTTTCCCGTTGAATGGGGGAGATGTATCTCACACACGTTGATATCCTGCACTCGCGGTTGGTACACCGAAATCAAAACCAGCACCAGCACCACCTCCAATGGTGCTACCATAACCACCTTGGTTGTGAGAAGCGGCTACTCTCACCTCTCGGGGGTCAAAGCCCCTTGCTTCTCCGCTGTCTCGCCCTTGCAGGCCGGACTCTCGAACCGGTTCGCGCAGGTACTAGTCAGTGCGCGCGCTCTCGACCTGCGGTGCCCTTCCATGAGCTACCGCAGGCAACGCGGCTATGCTCTCCGTAGCGTTGCCCCGTCCAGCAGCACCCTCCTTGGCACCGCCGGACTCCTCCATCTTGCGTGAAGCTAGACTTGTCACCAGCATGGTCAGCTGGCTGATCTGCTCCGACAGCGACCCCATTTCCGCTTTCAGACTCGCGACCTCTTGCGAGCTTCCCCCGGCGGGATCACCGGAGGTCTCACTACCTCCGTCGTCGCGACCCGCCATTCCTACGGTACTCTCTCGAGGGGCGAACACTAATGTGTTGATGTTTGTCAGTTACTTGGAAGGGGGAGGCTCGCTTCAGTCTCTTGTATTAGACACGCAAGGGAGCGAGGAGAAGTGGGCCCTACATGCATCATGGAGTTTCCAGAAGGGAGGGGGGGCCCACACAGTAACCTTCAGGTATACATATGCTCCTGTCTGCGTGCCCTCCGCTATTGCCGGTAGATCTATTCAGTCTGTATCCAAACACACGAACAGGATAAACTGCTAGGGAAGTCCCCTGCGACATCTCGACAACCTCTTATGCGTGCGTCCTTCGCGAGGTCCCAGTCCCGTAGGCGCTTGGCAAATGCATTGCAAGTCGCCATCACTACCCGAAGCACAAGGAAGGAGAGCGATGTGGTGCCAAAACCTGTTTCTCCTGGAAGTTTTGAGACATAAATACAGACAGTCAGCGATTGCAGAGATGAGAGTCCATAGCGTCCAATACTCGCTTACCGTGTGATGCCGCTCACGCCAAACATCAAGGAGCACGGTAGCTTGTTCCGAGGGGAAGCAAGAGGTAAATGTCGCCTGACGCTCTTGCTCCACAATCGTGAAGGATGGAAAGTTGCATATTTATTGCTGAGAGAAAGTCAGCCAAGCAAGGTCTGAGGATCAAAATTCATCTCAGGTGGCATGGAGGAATACCTCCTGACCATCCCACATCCTATTCACAAGAATAATATGTACCCTCATGCCAACAGCCACACATGGCATAAGCTTGTTCCCCAGCTGCTGGGATTAAACTCTTCAGGGAGGTGACCGGGCCTTGACGCCACGGTTTCGCCCATCACCTTCGAGGACTGCCGTTCGTATACCCTCGTCTGTGTTCGTACGTGGGGGTAGACTGGTTAATCGTACCGATACTACTGTACCTGGTAGCGGTTTTCGTACATATATGGCAGATGGGAATGGCCTTGAGGCACATGTTGGGAGAGACTGTGGGATACGACTTGCGGGCCCGTTTTTGACTGGGATTGGTCTGGCACTCCTCTGTTCTCCTACTCTGCCACTTACATGTCGCCATTACGTTCTAATGCATGCGGTCAACAACACTCTGTGGACTCTGAAGCTCACGCGACATTAGCATATACAAGGATTTTGTGTGCGTGTTGAAGATGCTTGTATCACTAGACAACATACGAGATTAAGACTCTGAGACAAAGCGGCGGGAGAGAGAGTGCACAACGCCAGGAAATCAATCCCGTGAGGCGAGCCTTGTGGATCAACCCTAATCCCAACCCGGGGTGCAATCAGTTCCCATCTGAGACGCTTTACGGTTTGGTATATCTTCATCATCTCCTTTACACTCGAACAACTTTGGGGACCCTGGATTCGGCTCACCTTCCATACAATACAAGGGTCTAGCGACATTCAAAACGGAAAATCGGCAATGCTATTATTTCCTCCACTGGTGGAGTAACTTCTTATTTGCTCATATGACTATTAGTTACTCCACCAGGCAGATCTCCTCCCACAGCGGTCCAATCGCTCTCAAACCAATTGCATCTTGTAGGTGTGGGCTACAGTACAGCTATCTCCAAAGCTATGTACTTAGTCAAACCAGTGGCTACAGGGATATGCCGAAGAAAAGGGGTTTGGCAGCATCCCAGGAAGTAGTAATCGTCTTGAACCTCCGTCTATACAGCTCCAATTGACCCCAAAACAATTTTGCATCGTGTTGGCACGGTCCATACCGTTCATACACGCTACATGACACTGACATCCGATATATTCCTGAGATATGGTCAACAGAGGGGGGTAAAGGTCATTAGTCCCGATATACCTCCAATCACACAGCTGAACCGCGCCTACTCTGACCGAAGCGTGTTGCCACGGCTCACAGCTATCATTCAAGCCATCGGGCACCCCAATCGGACCAGTGGGTGAAGAGAAAAGCCCACCAACGGGGGCTCGGTGGCTCAAAGGCCGGTGAAGCAGATAGCACACATCTGCTCCACCTGGCCAAACCATATAGACAGGGCGCCGTTTGCCCTACGAAGAGGTGCATTGCGTTGGGACGGCTCACAGCCATCATACAGGCCATCGGACACTCCAATCGGACTAAGGGGTGCAGAGAAACTCCCACCCACGGGGGCTCGGTGGCTCAAAGGGCGTACGAGCAGATTGGCCATATCTACTCCACAGGCTAAACCCCATCTACAGTGCTCTGTACAAATCCGCGCACCCTCCATTGATGCGATAGTCAATCGTTGTGAGAATGTCACCACCTCTAACGCTTGTACTTTCCTGGCGTGCAGAAAAGCCGTGGCTCGTGGGAGACCAACGGTGTTGCTTACGGGGTGATACGTGTATGTTGCGTATTATGATATAACGGTCCATGAAATAGCGCTTTCTCTGTTGTCCGTGTAATTTTTCACACGGTAATGCCATGTAGTCTACCACAGACGCCGATCTCGTAAAAAGTAGTGCGGCACCGCACAAAATGCTTCGAAGCAACATTCTCTGCGTTCCTACGGCTCTCAGTTGTCACGCAATCCCTCGTGCGTCTCATAGTGACAGGTGGTTGCCGAGGTACGGCTCACAATGATGTCACCGCACCACCTCGGCGGTGTCGAAGATGATATGCCGGTGTACGACACCGTAAAAATCTTCCGAAAACACCCCCAACACGCACAAAAACAATGAGCTGTGCTCCCATGCCCCCGGCTGTCGCGCAAGCCGTCATTTGGCCGAAACCAACATATGGGTGCCGAGATACGCTCGAGAATGCGGCCGCAGCACCACCTCGACGGTGTCGTAAGTAAGGCATATTTACGACACCGCGCGAGACGTCCGAAAACACCTCCGATCCGCACAAAACCAACGTTTTGCTGTGTTCCCACGGCCACCGGCTGTCGCGCAAGTCGTCATTCGGCCGAAAGCAACATGCGGTTGCAGCTATGCCTGTAAACCTACATGCTACCTTTCTTAAGACGACCGACGAGGGCGCAGGGTGGATCGGTTACATAGTCCACCGAAGAGACTAGTCTATCTCCGTCGCTGCGTACAAGCGACTGGGAATACAGATCTCGTTGGCAAGCAGTTTCTTCAGCACTTTGGGTGGCGCGCAGCACCCAGAGATCAATAGTCGTTCGTTGTGGAACGGCCCCGACTACCAAGACGTAAGCGCGAACCTCGGTGGCGGAAGGAGTGGGGGACACAAGCAAGGGTAGCCCGTGTTCCGGGCACCAGGCGGCTACTCCTCGAGGGAAACGATATGCATTTCAAAGGCAACTCTGCGTGTTCAATAGCACCACACGATCGTCGAATTGGGAGTGAATGTTGTGCCAACATTTTGTGACATCCCAAAGGAAAATCGTATGGGTCCGTTGACGACATTGAGCTCCACGGACACACGGTCTTGACGATTTTCACTCATTCATTCTTGTCCAAGACACTCATTGGCAGGGCCTTTGGATTCCCAAGTTCCTGTGTGAAACCGAAACCCGACTCATCTAATACATGCTGTTTCACTGTCCTAACCCTACGTGAGAACTTCACGGTTCATTCTTGTCAATGACCTTCACATCGAGAGCTGTCTGTGCCCAAACTCCCAATGTGAACCGAGACCTGACTCCGACAGGCATATATCTTTCTTGTATAATCAAATCAGAGGCATGACATTGCAGGGCGTGATTGCCATATGTACGTTTCACTGTCAGCTTCGAGGAGGCTTCCTCGTCGAGGGAACCGATATCCATCTGAAGCGCGAGAAGAAGGGTCGGAGAGCAAGAAGTGTGTGTACGCGTATGTAGACACCGTCGGCCTGTAGTACATGTGGATGGAGACTGCAAAATATTTAAGCCATTATACGAGTCCACCACGCGTTCACCGACACCACTAGTCAAACGTTTGAGCAGTATACATGAGTTCTTTCTGCTGTATGTCATCGCGGGAACGCGTGAGGGTAGTGTTTGGTGTGGACAAAAATCTCTCATCAATCGTCAGCTGCTTGAGATGCTGCTTCTGAGTGGAGGTGTACGCTACTTGATTCCCTCGCTTGCGCTGCTGGCAATAAGCAACGAGCTCTAACCCTCACTCCCGAAGCTTCCTATGATTTGCCTATTGGGTCGCCGTACAGCAGGGTGTGCGTCTCTCTGTTGTGGGGTGCGCCTGTTGTGGATCAAACGATCGGCCTCGCAGATTGATGGACTTGTGTGTGCTTGCTTCCCTCGCTCGTACATACGCCGTAGGCAACTGGCTTCAAATATCGCTCCCAATGCCTCGTACGATGTGTTCCTTTGGCCACCCTTGGCCTGCTGCAGGTGTACGTCTCATTGTCTCGCTCTGTTGCGGTGGTGACTGCAGATGACAGACAGCAGATTGACCTGTGTTGCAGCCCTCGCTTGTTGTACGGCCGACAGCAAGCAACGCCATCTATGATTTGGACCTTTGGCTGCTCTTGTCCCACACTAGTCTCGTGTGCTGCTGTCCTGGCTGTCTCGGGTGATGTATACTGTACGTGTTGTGTGTCATGTGCTACTGCTGCTGTGCCACGTCTTTCGGAGCATTCCGCCTCGTCGTTGTGACGATCAATCATCCCATCAGCTGTTTGTTCAACGTAAGAATCCTCGACATAATGCACGCACACCTTCGATACTGCGGTCGACGAGAAGGGAGAAAGTTTTGGCTGAACCCTCTTCTTATGGTGATCATAACTGAGACATGTTCGGCAGGAAGAAGCGAGGAGCAACAGGACAGGCTCCTGCGCGACCTTCCTTCTGTGAGACCCTGGTTAAGTACACCGAGAGGTGCGTAGACGGGAGCCAGACTGCATGGGACGAATACACACATACGAAATTCCTTCAATTCCCAAACGAGAACCCAACATGTAGTGGAGCTGCGCCTATTCCATGAAGCAGTCTCAGCCTAGGAAGGATCGATTGGCTTCGTCATCGCAATCTCCGACGCTCTCCGACGCGGTTCCTACGTAAAAAGTGTACAGTTAGAGCCCCGCG